GATTTATTTGATTTTAAATTCAAGTAATAAATTGAAATAGCAGATTAATGAGAGACATGTTTTATTTTTTATTAGATTAATATACAGTAATTTCTTTTAAAAAAATATTTAAAATTTGTTACGAAATTCATTTTCTTTAAAGAAAAATTTAAAAATCGTTACAAAGTTCATTTTTTTTTTAAATGTCGTTTTAATTTATTTTGAGAATATTCCCTTGTTCAGCAGATTTTTTATACCAATAAATCGCCGAGTTCATATTTATTTCAAATCCATATAATTTTTCATACATTTGGACAAAATTTTGTTAGGCTACGTTATATCCAAAATTTGCTGCTTTTGAAATAATTTGAACGCTTTTTTAAAATTATAGCAACATGCAACATTCTAAATTATACATTGTATATATATTTCCTAAATCCGCAGCTTTTTGATATAATTCGAATTCTTTTTGTTCATTAAAAGCAGTTCTAATATAATAATATTATATCCTAACTAGCTTATTCCACATGGATATTTTCTTTCTGTTAATTTTTTAGATAATTCGAAAGCTGTTTCATAATCTTTATCAGTATCCTCCCTATTTATAAAGATCATACTAATCTACAATATTTCTAAACTCTGTTGCTTTTTGATAAAATTTAAATACATTTTGCATGTTAAAGCTAATTCCAATTCCATGATAATTATAAATATATAATTAGTTTTATAATTATGAAGATAACTAAGAAAGGTTATAATAGATTTAGGTTATTATAATAAATCTAAAGTACTTGTATAATTATATGTGTCATTCAAAATACTAGTCCAAATATAAAATATATTACGGTGTTTTTGAATAAAGATGAAACGCTGGAATAATTAGAGAATCAACACTTGGAAACAATAGACATATATTGGACAACGAAATATCGGGATAATTTTCTGGATTTGATGATTAAATTAGTTTCGCTCATTTTGTATAAAATTTACATTCGACATGAACATATGAGTAGTTGTAGAAGTAAAAAAGTTTAATAAATAATATTCATTTATTGAAAAACATAAATTAAAAGAAGATATTGGATTTCGTCATAAGGATGTTTGCTTTGGGAAAATGAGATTAAAAATTTGAGAGCTGATTTATATTAATGAATAAAAAAAAAGTTGTTAGATTACAAAAAAAATATCTGGAATCATAGATTATAATTCATACTCGCATGATTTTAAAATATGGTAAAAGTTTGTACGAAAATAAATTTATAAATTTTTAGATTTATATAGATTTTATTCAAAATTTAAATAATTTCGAATAAATATTAATAATATTGTATACATCTGACAATGGTGCCATGCGTAATTTTCATGGGAGGAGCATAGTGCATTAATATTATCACAATGAAAATTAACAAAGCACGCAAAATATATATATTTATTAAGAGTATTAGTAATGTAATGTCCAAATCATGATTCATGTTACTGAATATGGAAATAAAATAAGATATAATAAACTAATATTTCATTTATAATTATCTAACTTAAAAAAAATGTTTATATTTATGGATTATACGATGAAAATCCACCATTATTTATGAGTTTAGTAAATATAAATATTTGAATTTTAAAATTTATCATATATGATGACGATCACTAACCATACTATATAAAAACACATAATAATAATATTTTAATTCTTTCATTTATCATTAACAATTTTTTGTTTCCCAAGTTAAATTTTGATGATCAAAATCATATTGGAATAAATCATTACTGAGAAAATATTATATCGCGTAAAAGTTTAGCCTAGTTTAATTTTAATTTCGCCACAATTTTAATACTTACTATATTTAGTTAAACATTTTATTTACTAATCTTACCTATTATGGAAAATTTAAATAATTTGCCAAAATTGAAATTAATTATTTGACTAATCTTTTTTTATATAATTTTGTTGCTGATCTTGAAATCATTCAAACATAAAATAACGATTTTCCCATTTTACAAATTTACAAATTTTTTTGTTTAATAAATTATTAATTAAAATGGATGAAATTAAACTAAGTGACGATGTATTTGAGCAATTAAAAGAGTTCTGTCATTATGATTTGACTGAAGAACAAAAATCGTTAATTGATAAACTAATAACAGACAAAGAATTAAATAAACGGTATAAAAAAAATAGGTTATGTAAAAATTGTAAGCAGATTAATACTCGTTATAATTGGTGCCAGCCATGTGTTTCTAAACGTTTTCAACAAAATTTAAAAAATTGGACAAGTGGAAATCATGACGTTGATGAATTTATTCAAAAAGCACAATTGAAAACTAAAGATAAAGAACATATTGTAGAATGGATTGAATATGATAAATTTGAAGATGTTGAATATTTAGCAAAAGGGGGATTTGGAACTACTTTTAAAGCAGTTTGGAAAGATGGTCCTATACGGAATTGTGACGATAATCAATGGAATAGAGATGGTAAAACAAAAGTTGCTTTAAAGTGTTTACATAACTCACAAGGTATTACGGCAGAATTCTTAAAAGAAGTAAGTTATTTTCATTAAATTTAAATTAGCCTTTATAAATGTTAAACTAACTATAATTTTCTTTAAGGTTGAATCAAACATATTAGTATATAATTCTATTTTTGATCATATAGTTCGTTGTTTTGGTATTACCAAAGATCCAAAAACAAATAATTTTATGATGGTAATGGATTTAAAAAATGGTGGTTTAAGACGACATTTAAATAACAACTTCATTTCACTGAATTGGGAGCAAAAGTTGCATAGTTTAACTGTTATTCCATATGGTCTTAGTGATATTCATAAAAAAGGATTAATTCATCGTGATTTTCATTGTGGAAATATATTAAGCGATTTTGATAGATTTGTTTATATTACTGATTTGGGATTATGTCAACCGGCAAATGTCAAATCCTCTCAAAATAATAATAAAAAAATATATGGAGTATTGCCTTATGTAGCACCAGAAGTTTTAAGAGGAAAAGAATATACTCAAAAGAGTGATATTTATGGATTTGGAATCATTGCATATGAAATTTGTACAGGTTTCCCTCCTTATTATGATATAGCTCATGATGAATTCTTAGCAATGAAAATTTGTAAAGGGTTGAGGCCAAAGTCTAATTATAAAATTCCTCAATTAATTTTTGACATTATTAATCAATGTTGGGATGCAGACCCTTTAAAACGACCTAATTCACATGAATTAAAAAAGTTATTTGGAGGTTTATGGCAAGATATTTATGGCAATAAAATGGATTCTGTAATTTATGGGCAAGTTAAAGAAGCAGATGATATTAATAAAAAGTTATCTTTTTCATCACCTTTAACATCCACTGGTACTATATCATATACGACACATCCTCAAGCAGTTTATACAAGTAGACTTTTAGATTTTAATAATCTTCCAGAACCAAAAAATGCCGATAATAATAATGATTTACTTGGAATAGAATATTCAGGTAAACATATATAGTTTTCTATAATAATTTAAATTATTTTTACAATGCTAACAAATAATATTTATAGATTCCTTAAAAATGGATTTTACTAAACTTGATATTAATTCTAAAGGTAAATTACTCTCGTATGTGATTTTTTTGATTTATTAAATTTTAATTAAAACTATCTTTTATTATAGATGAAAGTAATTAAACTTGGATTACTTAAAATTAAAGTATAAAAGATTATCGTATTTATTTTATTTGTATTTGTAATTTTGAAATTTGGAGATTAAAAGAATTATTTATGATATAAATTTAACAAATCTATATAAATTTCCTAATTTAAACGGTCTTCAGATTGGAGTCCTGCGCAAAAGTTCATATTTTTAAATCCGATCCGGTTCCAATATCTTCGTGTTTATTTATTAAAAAATTTTGTATTTACTATTAAGATAAATTTTTGTACTGTATTTATTTGTTAATAAAGTTATTTATATTATTTATTACTATTTATTAAAATATTATCAATGAATTTATTATTAAAATTTATTTACTAAAAAACTATCAACAACGTGATTTTACTATTATCTATAATTTTATACTCTACAAAACAAATAAATTTATATTTAAATTCTTTATATTTTATTAATAACTAGATAATTCATATGTTAAATGTTTGATACTTTTTTTATTCAATTAAATTTTTATAGCAAAGGATCTGCGGAAAATGGAAATTTGGCGTGGCATCAAATAAAAGTAAATTATTTGAAACTTTGAGACAAATATTATTTATTAAACTATAATATTGTTTACCGCCCAATTGCATTACTCTTTCGTAAATTTAAATCCTTACAAAGAATTATCAAAATTAATAACGGAACACATTTCCTAATCCGGAATCACTTACCATGAATAACAATGCATCACATCTAAAAAAAAGGTTAGAAATTTTAACATTTATTAATAAAGTATTAAACAAACATTAAAGTGTGGTTTGGAATTCAAATAACAGATAATTTCGTTTTATTAATAATGATATTTATTCAAATCTATGGATATTATATAAAATATAGAAAAAAATCTAAAAAAAAATAACACATCAAATAATAACAAATAAATAATAATATAAAACCCTATAAAAAATTATCAACATTTATCCAGTTCATCAGATGGGAAAATGTTAATACTTTGATCCTTTAATGAATTAATAATTTCTAATTCATCATTCGTCCAATCAAATTCACACATATAACCTTTATTAATTCCCAATATCTTTAAAGAATTATGAACTTTTTGATAATTATTTACATATTTTAAATAATCTTTCCTTAAATCTTCTTCCCCCTCAATATAAATAATCCACTTTTTCAAATTTGCTCTACAATTTTTAGTAAAATATTCAAAAGATAATAGATCGATATGAAAATCTAAAAATAAATATTCAACAAAATTTAAATAATCACCCAAAGTTTTAACCAATTGGCTGGCATAATATTCATGATCTATCTCAATTTTTAAAAATTTTAATGATGATATTTCACAAATAAGTGTAATCATTGAATCTAAATCTTGTTCTGAAAAGATTTTAATATGTAAAAAGCTAAGATTTGGGCAAGATTCTTTTACTGCTTTGATTGTTTCAGGTGCAATAATATTTAATGATAATTTATACAATGATTCATTACATAAAGAATTAATTATTTCTTCCATTATCTTTAATGTTGAACCAAATCCATTAAAAACTCTTGTATTGTAAAAAAATTCTTCTTCATGCCATAATTTTAATTCTTTAAGGTGAAATCCTTTCTTAGATAAAGTATCATAATTTTTTGAAACAAAACCTCTACATTCAAGAAATTCAAGTCGTTCTAACTTTTCCAATTTTGATAAGAATGATAATCCAATAATTTGAAAATCCATATTCCTGAATGATAGTTCATTTAAAGTTTTTGATCGAAATTCCAAAGCATACAAAATTTTTTCTATATTTTCCATCTCACTATGATTTTCATTATCATTTAATATTCTTTCTAAAGGTCGGAAATTGACACTATAATTTTCAGTATCAATTAATATCCTTTCTAAAGGTTGTAGTTTGATAATATCCAAAAATGTGTTGGTCAATGCATTGTCTAATCTTGAAAAACATAGTTCACAGTTAATAATACTATTACAAAGTCTAGACACTTTGCTTAAAAATTCGATAGTATTCTTATATATGGTACTATCATTTATTAAGTCCAAATAAGCCTCTATATCCAAAGATTTTAGATTCATAATTCCGGGTTTAAAAGAACTAAAAGTAGAAAAATTTGGCAGGTCAATAAAATTATTCCAATTTACAATCACAACAAATTCTTGTATGTTTGAGCCTTCTCGCATAATCATATGATATATAACATTAACCAACTTTCGAATTCTACAATCTTGATATCTAGAAACATCAGTAGGTACTCTTCCATATGATCGTCTTGATGATGAATTAAGCCAAGATATGATATGTCTTACACAATAATCGTGATCAATTTTCCTTATAAATTTCCCATATTTAAATAAAGGTGTTCTATTATTAAAATTTATTGCGCAAGGAATTAATGAAGAAATTTCATCATCATTAAGACAGGAAATTAAAGTATTTATTAATGAAAATTGTCTAGGAGTCGGTAAAATAAAAGGATCTCTCCAAATTAAAGGAATAGATAATTTACAATAATATCTATTTACAAATAAACATTTGTATAATGATTTGTTATCAAGAAAAAAAAGTACCCCGGTAAAACACTCATCAGGTAATGAAGTTAAAGACATGTTATTGGTAAAGAAGAAAATGTCCGAAATGCGTTCTATTGTTCTATTTATTAATAATTTTATGGTGGTACAAATTTAGCCGATTTCCGATTACGTGATCAATTAGATCATTGCTGTGCTACAATTGTGTTACTCATACAAAAATAAAACGCACCAATAATAAGAATTAAAATTAATTGCGGTAAAATTAATTAATAACCTAAAAAAGTTAAACTTTATTGTGCAAAATAAATTAATAATAATTATAAGAACTTAAAAACATTAACGTATTAGATATATATTTATAATTTGACCAAATATGAAATAAAAAAAATGTTTCACTTCTTGTCAATAGCCACGTTTAATAATTAGAAGGGTAAAATTTTATAAAAAGACCACTTCATTTTTTATTTAGAACTAAATTAATCGATTAAGTAGTCAAAATTTAATTCCGGCCAGGATTAGTCATTTTTTTGATTTAATTTCTGGCCTGAATTAACTTACTCGGATGGGCGGATTTTGGTTATTGAAAATGATCGACACAAATTATCAAATTAAGTAATGATCCATATTTTTTAACTTACAATAATATCATTTTTCCCATTTATTATGTTTTTTTGTTTTTTTTCGCAAAATACAAGTACAGGATTCATTAATTTGAAATTGTAAAACCAGGATTCCCAATTTCCCATATTTAAATTCAATTATAACATTAGCCAATGTAATTTCTACAATTTAAATAAATAATACTAGTATAATTCTATAATTCAAAAAAAAAAATCTTAAAAAAAGGGTGCTTGTGATAATTTATTTTGAGCGTGTTTGTTTCCTTGTTCAGCAGATTCTTTATACCAATAAATTGCTTTATCCATGTCATTTTTAATTCCATTTCCAATTTCATACATTAAAGCAAGGTTATATTGAGCGACATCATTTCCCAAATTTGCTGCCTTTTGATATAATTCAAATGCTTTTTTTATATCGGCACTAACTCCAATTCCAAGCTCATAACAACGACCTAACATAGTAATACCACCAGAAAATTCTCCCTCAGCTGATTTTTTAAATAATTCAAACGCTTTATCATAATCTTTTGTAACAACCTTTCCATTTTTATAAAATAATCCAAGATTACATAAAGCTCTAATATTACCTAAATCTGCTGCTTTTTGATACAATTCAAATGCTTTTTTCACATCAATATTAGTTCCAATTCCATTTCCATAACAATAACCCAACTTATTTATTCCACTTGAGGTTCCTCCTTTTTCCAAAACTTTTGATAATTCAAAAGCTTTTTTATGATCTATTTCAACACCTTCTCCATCCATATACATATTAACAAGTTCTAATTGAGCCAAATTATTTCCTAACTCTGATGCTTTTAAATATAATTCAAAAGAATTTTGCCTGTTAATTTTAGTTTCAATTCCATAATAATGAAAATATCCAATCAAATAAATAGAATTTGGATTAATTTGATTATTTAAAAGCCAAATGAAAATTTCTTTTGGATTTATATTATGATTATTAATATAAGTTAAAACATGTTGCTTTATAACGTTTTCTTCTTTTCCTTGATTTAATTCTTTAAAAATAAGATTAACCGTTTCATCAATTACAATACTTAAATCTTCTTCAAATATACTTTTATGAATATTTTGAATTGTAGGTTCTATTTCTTTTAAATTCATTTTATCAAAATAATTTATAATTTGAGTTTCTGAATTTAAATCTTGTTTATTTAATAATTGAGAATAAATATTATCAAACTGATAATATTTGTTATTGGAAACTTTCTCGGACATTATAAATAAAAAGAAAATTATCGGAAAAGTTAAGCTTTTTTTTTTCCTTATTTTTTTAAGCCACAACATATTTATTTGAATGTACGAAAGTTACACTATCGTAAATGATCACTAATTAAAGTTACATAATTTTGATTATACAATAATGGCTCGGCGTTTGAGTATTATTTTGCCAAGAAATAATGTAGATCTTTTCCTTTTTGATAACTCCAACCGGAATTATATGACACGTTAACGCCGGTCCTTTAATATATAGTAATATATATGAATTATTTAAAAATTTTATTATTAATTTACCTATATAAATTTTTACATATAACATGACCACGATTACCACGTGATTTATTATTTATTGATTACATAATATAATAATCGTGTGATTCAACTGATTCATTAGTTCACATGGTTATAAAAATAAAAAATAAAATGATTCAACTGATTCATCACTTTTTTAATAACAAATAAACACGGAAAATTTTTTCCATTTTTTTTTCTCGCGGAAGAAAGTTTTTAAAAAAAAAAAAAAAAAAAAAAAATTCAAGTGTAAGTCCTTCGTATCAAGAAAGCCTTTATACCTTTTTCTCTTTATAATTAACATATATTGTTTACGTAGTTTTCAAAATTTACATGTACTATCTTTTTATATACTTAATAAATGAAGTCTTTACAAAATAATAATGACCACAATGCGACACTCTCCTTTGCCGATTTTAACTCTAATATTCAAGTGGATTCTTCAGAAGAAGAGTCTAGTTATGAGAAAAATACTACTGGTTTGACTTTATTAATATTTAATGTTTATTTTTCAGTTTTCTAGTTTACGAAAAAAACTCAATGCCAATGGCATATCAATTTATCCAATCCTATTTTATCTTCATATGTTCAAGTTAACACATTTTTGGATGAACATAATCATACACTTTTACCCGATACAGCAATATTTTCAACTGAATTTCGTGCTTTACCTGCCAAAATGAAAAATAATATTGAATATTTTGTATCATGAGGAATTTCAGATATCCATACCATTCACTCTCTAGTTGTCACCTAAATATGATACTCAATATATTCATTCTCAGGATATGCTAAATTTTATTCAAAAAGTTAAGCGGCAAATTGTTGATACTTCAAATGCTCAGTTAATCTACTGGAAAGCCTATTAGCTAAACAACATGATGACCCTTTATTTATTGTAATTTCAGAAATTGATATGAACTCTCCAAGATTAACAGGTATTTTTTGGATGAGTGGTGAACAACAGCTATTACATGCCAAATATCATGATGTATTATTTCATGATAAGGCCGCTCCAATTTGATTGTTTGTTTAATGTCCAGAATTTATAGAGTTTGAGAGGGGAGGGGGTCTACAATAAACAAACAAACATAATATGACTTTAGGGAAAATTTGGGAAATTCTGGAAAATTGTAATTTAAATTTAGAGGATTATTTAAATATATTTACAGTATTACTATATATTTAATAGAATCCAGATTTTTAAAAAAATAGAGGTGGGAGTGGTACGTTAAACAAATAAACAAATAATTAATTGAAGCAGCCTAATACAACATTAACAAATAAATACAAGTGGCCATTATCTCTTTTTTTGATTGTTGACTGTAACAATAAATCATGCTTATTAGCTCAAGCTTTTATTCAAGATGAAACTGAAGAAAGTTATCTATGGTTATTGAAATGTCTTAAGCATACCAATATTGAGCCCAAAACCATTATTACTGATTCTGAAACAGCAATGATTGGCGCTTTACAAGAAGAATTACCAAATACATTTCATGTTATATGTATTTATCACTTAAGTCAGAATCTTTCAAAACAGTTAAAATCAATTCTTGGAAAAGATTACATAAAGTTTTTGAATGATTTTTATACTGCGTGTAATTCTATTTCTGAAGATATATTTGAATACCAGTGGAAAAGATTACAAGCAAAGTATTTACAAGCTGAAAACTATTTGACTAATACTTTATATATAAGACAAAAGTATCCTGGGCATATTGTTATATTTACTAGTGATATGCAATCTACTCAAAGAGTAAGAAGGATTAAACGCAATAATTCATAAAGAAATTGAATCTAGTATGAGTTTGACTATAGCATGTGAGAAAATATTAAAAAGATTAGGAGCTGAGAACATGACACAAAAGTAATACATCATAATAATTGGATAAATTTATTGCATTGTTTTAAAACTAATGTGATTTATATTTTTATTTTTAGATTTTCAACGGTCAAATACATTATTCTCAACCACATATTGTAGCTACTGTATTCAGTGAAGTTAGTAAAGACCTTAACCAATGGTTATCGCCAGCACTTTATTAAAAGCATAAGAAGCAAATTTGTGAAGTTATAGCCTATAGAGCACAAATTATTACTGATTTAACTGATATTTTAGCAACTGAAATTAATGAAAATGATTTATCTTGTCAAGTCAACAATGATAATGAAAACCCTAACAATACTGATAATGAAATTCTAGCAACAATGATAATGAAAACCCTAACAATACTGATAATGAAAATTCTAACAACATTGATGACTTTGAACAAATTTAAACACCAATTTTGTAGAAGATAATTATGAAGATCAAAAAATTCACACTTTTTTTTTGTTTCTTTTAATGAAAAACGTCGGGTTTGATGTTTTTTCATTAAAAAAAGTTCTTTTAGAGGGTACTTTCTTTTATTAACTAAAAGCAGTAGTGCAAATTATTATGTAATCCTTTTAAAAAGTGGCTGGTATATTTGTATGTGTTTACAGCTTGTTAATAATGGGTGATATGTAGGCATTATTTTAAAGTGATGATGGATAGCAATAATGCTAAATTTCATATCTTGTTAATCCCTAGAAGATGCCCTGTAAAAAAAAAATGTCCGGAAATTGTAGCTAAAAACATCCGGAAAATGTCTGTGTGTCCGGAAAACGTCCAGAAAATTGCAATATTCTGGACACTTTCTGGACACTGAATCTGAACCCTACTAGACATTTTCTGGACATTTTCTGGAAAATGGAAATTTTCCAACATCCGGAATATTGCAATATTCCGGACATATTCCAGACAAATAAACATTTCCGGACATTTTCAGCTACAATTTCTGGACATTCTTTTTTTATAGGGATGGTATAAGGAAAATCTTCAAGATGATAACAAAGTTTTATCAACTCTTACAACATAATGCTTGGAAATGGTTTAGTAGAAGCAGATGGACCTGAAGAATTTGTAATCAGATTTAATCAAGATAAACTTTCATTTTCTCAACAACATCATGATAATTACACTCAAAAGCAATGTTCAGAAATGACCTGGTCATTTGAGCATTTAAATGATTTATGAAATCATTTGTCATTATTCATAATCATTTGTCATTTGGTCATTTCAATCATTTGATTTTGATTGACTAATATTTATCACATAAATAATCATGTGACTATAATTAAAAAATAATGAATGTAGTGTAGGCAAAAATCATAATGCTGGCCAATATCAGATTATAACAATAGATCATTTTTTTTAGTCCATTCGATTATTTAGCGTAGTCCTAGGTTTTTGAATAGTTTGCCCAAAGGGTGAGGTCAGGACCCCGAAAAATACATAAAAAGGTCACATTTGAGTTTGCTTAAAAAGAACCTAAATTTTCATGAAAATCTTGCCTTTTTTAGATAGTGCCGGCCTAAATTTTATTGTCCGTTTTGATACTGGCCAGCATTATCATAATTCCGGCCCTGAAAAATTGCTTATTTTAGGCCAAAATCTTGCCGATCATTTATGACCTCCATATGTATTTTTCGGGGTCCTGTGAGGTCCCATAGGGGATGAAGTTCTGAATTCTATACACGCATTTTAGTTGTAGACATGTAAATGTACTTTTCACTTCTATTTGTAATAGTTTTAGAACTACCACTCTTGTAGTAATAAAATAAAATAAAAAAACATAATGCTGGCCAAAATTACATTCAAATGACCAAGATCATTTGTCATTTGAGCATCGAAATGACATGTCATTTGTCATTTATCATTTGAATCATTTGGTCATTTCAAGTCATTTGCTGAACACTGCTCAAAAGTGATATAAAAAATGAATGAGTATGCAATTATTGATCTAGCAAAAGCATCAGCCACAATGTCTATTGAAATTGGAGATCTTAAAAAAATTTTATCAGATTATCATGATGAGTTATTATAAATTAAAGAACAACAACAAGCTCATATTAGAACATATTGCAAAGGAAGACCTTCTGCTATTAAAATCAGCCACTGAAATAAATAAGAGATTTAATAAGAAAATAGTGAAAATACTACATATGTGGAAAATGTAATAAAATGGGTCATAATGCCAGAACATGTAAAATTAGTGTAATCATTATAATACAACAAATATATATATTTTGATTCTTTAATTGCTAAATAAAATGACTTTTTATTTTTTTAAAGCATTAAAATAAAACATTTTAAGTATTTGTAAATTGATCGGTAATACATTAAAAATAAAAGTTTTACTGTATTTTTGTCCAATCAAAATGTGTATTAGATTCTATATAATGTAATGGGGTTATGGATAAAATTTTCAATTTAATTATAAAAATATTTAAATTTTTTCATATGAATAATTAGATGTTATTTCTTCAACAGATTTCCATAAAATACGTCGAAAACCAATTACTAATATAACAAATCCTTTTAATTTATTAGGATTTGATTTAGTTATTTTAATTCTTTTATCATATATTCCTGAACTATAATAATCATTTGATTTTCCTTTTGAAATAATATTCATATATGATTTCAATTGTTTAATTCCATTATTTAATACTTCTTCTATAGTTACTTTTTTAGTTTCATTATGTTCTTTTGACCAATATTCATATGATCTTTTTAAGAGAATTTTTTCATCTTCTTTTTCAATAATTTTATCTAAATTTTCTAAATCATTTGTATTAAACTTCTTTTTTTTAATTAATCCAACTAATGAAATATATTTTAATTCTAAACTAATATTATTATTTCCTATTCCTTTTAAGATAAAAATATCTGAATATCCAAATTGGCCAAATCCTTTTAATTTTGTACCATCCATTACTAATGATAATTCAGGAATACGATATTTTAATGGTAAAAGATTTTCAACAATTGCCTGAAGAACAGGTTCATTTGCAGAAGATAATGATATTTGTGATCTTGTTAATAAAAATGTTTTTAAAAGTTCAATAAAAGGTAAAATATTATTTGCAATAAGATTTTCATATGCTGAAGTGATAAGAAGAGCATCATTCACAACCTGTCTATATACTAATTTATCTTTATTTTGTTCTAAAATTCGAATTTGTTTTGTTATAAGTTCTAATAAATAATTATAAAAGTTAATAAATAATATAAATATAAAAAAAAAATAATAAAAATATTATAATTTACCAGAAGATGAATCAGTATCATTATTTCGTGTTCTTTTTAAATTTCCTTTTTGTTTAACTTGAAAATCAATTTTTTCAGTCCAAATCTTATTAAAAGTTGATTCCAATTCTTCTCCTAAAATATGCATTTCACTTCCTATATCATTATATATATAACAATTGCGAAATATAAGACGAATATCTTTTTCAAATCCTTCAATACTTGTATATTGATTATTTTCTAATTTTGAAATTATTGTAAATAAATCCATTGAATTTTTTATATTCTCATTTGAAATTTCATAAAATGGATGAATATTAGATTTAATATCAAGTTCTTGAAAAATATCATAACAAAAGTCAATAAGTTGAGAATTTTTAGAATTATTTTCAGTAGAAATAGAATGAATTTTAATAGGAATTTTGATTTTTTTTTGAATGAGATGAATTAGAAATAGATTGATTTTTAATAGGAATAAAATAATCATCATCAGTATTTTCAATAATTTGTTGTGAATAAGAAGAATTAGCAGATACTATGTTTTCTTTTTTATTATATTTTTCAACATTCTTTTTTGAATGGGATGAATTAGAAATGTGTGAACAAGATGAATCAGCAAGCACTATGTTTTCTTTTTCATTATTTTCTTCAATAAATACTTGATTTTTTTTATATTCTTTAATAATTTCTTGGCAAAATATTTTTAATGTTTTTGCATATCGAAATCGTTCTGCAATTACCTATTATTAGAAACAGTTTATTAGTAGTGTGTTAAAATTTATTTAGTAATATAAAAAGGTACATAGCCAATTCCTTCTCCAGAATTAGCAGACTTATATCAACTACAAAGTTAGGACACCTGAACCGAGAAGCTTGGAGTGGTTACCACGACTTGTCAAATCCAGTAAATTCCCTAAGTTAAGTTCTGATTAACTCTAGGGGTTACCCTAACTTTGCAAAATAAAAAAAAAACACACCTTATCTTTTAAATCAGGAAAATCTTTTTTAAGGAAATCTTTTTTTTCTCTCAAAAAACGAACAGCCCAAAGATTATCAAGATTTTTCCAATTATCTAAATTTGAAGTAGTATCAATTGAAGCAATAATAATATCACGGTGATTTGTTAAGAACCTCCAATATGATTTTGTTGTCCTATTGTTATCTGATAAATAAGAGATAAGAGCTAAAAAGATTGAAAGAATTGGGTTAATTATTAATACTACAATCTACAAGTTAAAATGCAGTTCACAAGATTTACCATTTTGACCAATGAAATCTTCAGATGTGGTCATGTTTGAAATTGATAAAGATAATTCAGAGTTTAATAATTTAATAAAAAAAATTGATAAAGATAATTCAGAGTTTAATAATTTAATAAAAAAAGAGAAATTGATGAGAGTTTAATGTCTTAAATAAAAAAAATCCTTTGTAGATAGTATGACTCAGACTGACATATTGATTTATCAAAGTGAAAAAAATTAACACTACAATTATAATAATTAAATCTATTATTTATCGTATTAACAAGAACTTAATCATTTTGCCAAATATGGTATAGTATAATTAATATAATTATTGATTAAAATCATGTCATTAGAAATTAGACATATAGCTTAAAGGTGATTCATTTTAATTCAGTTATTTTGTTAAGCAAATGACTCAACTTTCATCATTTTGACGCATTTGACATATACGCGTTTAAAAGATGAAACAATTGAAACATGTTGAATATATTATGCATGATACATGTACAGAGTTATTTTGTTAAGCAAAATGACTCAACTTTCATCATTTTGACGCATTTGACATATACGCGTTTAAAAGATGAAACAATTGAAACATGTTGAATGATACATGTATAGTAGGTGTTACAAAAAAACACGTTTGGTCCTATTTTATATATTTTATATTCATTGACTGCGAAAGTAACATATACGCGTTTAAAAGTGAAATTACTGAAATAAATTGAAATATGTTGAAATATATTGTGCACTATCATTTTTTTTGTATCACTTATCACTTATAGAAATATTTTTATGACAATGATATGATTCACCGTATATATATTTGAAAATTAAATATACTTACAATATACGGTTTTATAAGATAATTAATATAAAAAACAAAAGTTCTTAAGAACCAATTTTAAACTCCATAAGAATAATAAGTATTTAATATTTTTATTTTCGATATTTTTAGTTGAATAAATAATTTTACGATAATTATTAAATATAAAACATAAAATCGTCTGAATTTTGAATTTTGATAATGAGTTCGGAACCAAGTATAATAAATATATAATGATTAAAAAATTTGTTGCATTAATTTTAAAAATAGGCTATTTTTTTTTTCATTGTGTGCTCGATATATCAAGTTCTAACTGTAATACTTTCAGTTTTTTATGGATTTCGAGATAATTTTTGTAACGAGAGAGAAATCTACTATGACCAAACCTATTTTATTATTCATGTTGTTGCAACAAAAAAATTGTCATAACCGACAATTAACATGTTTCAATTCCATATTTTTTCGCTTCCACACACATCTGAGCGAAATAAAAAAAATTCAGAAAAAAAAGGTTCTCATACAAACATGTACGAACTGAAGTTAGATGATCTTGTTGTTAATAATCAAACATATTGAACGTAAAATTTCAAATAAACTAGGTAACTGCACAACTGCAACGATGGCGTCCGAAGCGTTATAATCACTGTATCGCTATATTAACGTGGTCCCAAAATTTCATTAATCTTACACGCACTCACGCAGCGTGACGCATGACCTTGAGTGTTACCAATAAGATATATAGTGTCACCTGATTTAGGATTTCCATTCCTAATCAGGTGACGTTTTTTCATAAAATCCTAGGAAAAAATCCTCCACAACTCCAAACGCTTCGAAATAAGAATCTCAATTGAAATATTAAACCGGATATGTGAAATATAAAGTTTTTAGTGGATAATTGTTTCTTTCCACCCGTTAAAAATTTTTCACCTTCTATAATATTCTTTAAATACTTCAGTTGATATAGTAATTTTTTATTAATTATACATTTAATTCCTATTCCGAATTTTTGTTCTTCCAATAAAATAATTGTAGACTTTTTTTATTAGAAAATTTTGAATAATATTTACTCTAATTTGAGGAACTGCGATGTAGAATTTTATATCAGCTTTGTTTCTTTGGTAAATAAACTATTTTTAATATGTTACAAACCGTTGATAAGGTAAATCGTATTTTAGAATTGTACTAACCAAAAGTTGTTATTGCGGCCATTACAAATATATTTGATACAACGATATTTCTGACATTCTTTTCTTTATGCTAAATAATGTACACTAAATTTTTCGGCCATACTAAAGCATTTAATGAAACCCAATATTACTTTTTCCAATCTAATTATATGCCACTTTAAATGTATTCTTCACTTTATATTAATTTTTTAGTCTTGAATTCAACCATTTTATTTATAATAAATAAATAAATTACATTTACATTATTTTGAACATAATGAATGGTATGGTAAAACCATAATAAATACAATTTAATAAAATAAGCGCATATAATCTACTTCGTTATGATATAAAGAATTTCATTTCAGGTTACAAAGTAAGATGAATTTATAATGTTACTAAATTTTAAATTGATTGATAAACTCTAACTCATTCTTTTAAAAGTTTTTTCAATTTTTTTTGAGCCAATTGATATCCTTGTTCAGCAGATTTTTTATACCAGTGAATTGCTTGATTAATATCCTTTTCAATCCAATTTCCACGTTTATACATGTTAGCAAGGTTATATTGAGCCAACCTATTTCCTAAATTCGCTGCCTTTTGGTACAATTCAATTGCCTTTTTCTTATTGATTTCAGTACCAATTCCATTATAGTAACAACATCCTAAGTTATTCATTCCATATAAATGACCTAAATCTGACGCTTTTTGAAATAGTTTAAATGCCTTTTGCTTATTAACAACCGTTCCAATTCCATCATCATAACAACATCCTAAACTATTTACTCCGTCTGAATTTCCTAAATCTGCTGCTTTTTGATATAATTTGAATGCCTTTTGCACATCAATATCAGTACCAATTCCCTTTTTATAACAACGTCCTAAGTAATATATTCCATGTGAATATCCTAATTCTGCTACTTTTTGATATAATTTAAATGCTTTTTTTCTATCAATATCTGTTCCAATCCCATTTTCATAACAATCTCCTAAATTATACATTCCATGTAAATTTCCTAAATCTGATGCTTTTTTATAAAATTCAAATGCTTTTTTCATATTAATATCAGTACCAAAACCATATTCATAGCAACAACCTAACTTATTCATCCCATCAGGGGATTCTCTTTCTACTAATTTTTTTGATAATTCAAAAGCTTTTTTATAATCTTTTTCAATCCCTTCTCCATCAATATACATATTAGTAAGATATAATTGCGCTATATCATTTCCTAATTCTTCTGCTTTTTGAATTAACTCAAATGCCTTTTTACTATTAGTGTTAGTTTCAATCCCATAATAATTAAAATATCCCAGTAAATAAATAGAATTTGAATTAATTTGATTGTTTAAAAGCCAATAATAGACTTCTTTTGGTTTTACATTATAATCATTCATATAATTAAGAAAGTATCGTTTTCTTATATTTTCTTCTGTTCCTTTATTTAAATCTTTAAAACTAAGATCAACAAATTCATCAATTGCATTACTTAAATCCTCTTCAAATGTATTTTCATGAATATTTTGAGTTGTAGGACTTATTTCTCTAAAATTAATTTTATCAAAATTTTTAATAATTGTATGATAATCTTCCATGTTTATATTGTTTATATATATATATTTTTGTGACTAGTCAAACAAAAAACTTACAAACTACTAAAAAGAAATAGTGTAACTGATTGAAAGAGTAGAACATTTAATAAATATATTTTTAAATATATAGAAAATTTGTTAAGCGTTACTTAAAAAAGCTTTTCCGTATGGAAAACTCGGATCACAATATAATTTTAATTTACCACAACATATTAAATGTAGTACTGCAGTGAAAATGATTTAATGACGCATAATTTGTAATCTTTGCACATAGCCGAAAGATCTACTTACACAGCCGCAAGATCTGCAGAAGTGCAGATCGAGTTTTTTTTTGCTGCGCAGATCGAACTCGCTAAAATTTGCCGATCTTTTTTATTTTTACTATTTTTACATAAACTTTATTCGTTTTATTTATTATATATATGAATATATACATATGAACAAAATGTACAACTAAAGAAAGTGAATCTACTTATTTAAATTCTATTTTTCTTAATCCAGGTTTAATAATATCTTGTTATGATGTTCCAATCCGCATCCGTTTTTCCGATCCGATCATTTTACGTCATCTGTTTTTATTATCCGTATTCGGAAAATGTTCCGGATAACGGATAAACGTCATCCGTTATCTGAAATATCCAGTAATGTATCCGTCATCTATTTAACCGCCGGATACCCGATATCCGACGAAAAATTCGGATAGCGGGTTAGCGAATTGGAACACTAGGAGTTCATTTATTTTCTTATAAGCATTTTATTTAATGAAAGCATTACAGCATATAATGCTTTTGAGATATCATTATCACGAAGACATTGGTAAAAAACAAATCAACCAATGTTACCGATTTACGTTAAAAGCTCCTTTGTTCGATGTAGGGGCTCCTTGTTCCTTGCGTAAGAAGCTTCAAATAAAAGAATAAGAATTTACATAAATTAAAAGTTTTCATATATGGTGATACGTTTTGCATGCATTAATCGATTTATTATAATTGAAATCTATTATAAATACATTATAATTATTAAGATAAGAGGACATAATCAAGAAGATAACAATCAGCCAACCAAATTCATCCTTTGTTTAATTAACTTCATCATGATTTATGTGACGGCGAATAAAAAGTTCGCAAATTATAATTTAATCTTTTAAAAAATCTTTTAATTTATTTTGAGCCCATTGGCATCCTTGTTTAGCAGATTTTTTATACCAATAAATCGCTCGATTAAAATCTTTTTCGACGTAATCTCCACGTACATACATATTAGCAAGATTATATTGAGATATATAATTTCCCATATTTGCCGCCTTTTGATATAATTCGAATGCCTTTTGTTTATCGATACTAGTTCCAACTCCCATATAATAACAACGGCCTAACATAGAAATCCCACCAGAAAATCCACCTTCAGATGATTTTTTAAATAATTCAAAGGCTTTATCATTATTTTGCGCAACAGCCTTTCCATTTTTATAAAATAACCCAAGATTACATTGGGCTATTATATTTCCTAAATTTGCTGCCTTTTGATACATTTCAAATGCCATCTGTAAGTTAACATCAGTTCCAATTCCAATTTCAAAACAATAACCCAACCTATTCATAGCATTTGGATTTTCTCTTTCTGCTAATTTTTTAGATAATTCAAAAGCAATATTATAATCTTTATCAACATCTTTTCCATGTATATACATACTGGAAAGATCTAATTGAGCTAAATTGTTTTCTAACTCTGCAGCTTTTTGAATCAATTCAAATGCCTTTTGCTTATTAATGTCAGTTCCAATCCCATGATAATTAAAATATCCAAACAAATAGATAGAATTTGAATTAATCTGATTATTCATAAGCCAGTTATAAACTTCTTGTGGACTTATTTTATTAATATAATCAATAACATGCTGCTTTATAACATTTTGTTCTTTTCCTTCATTTAGTTCTTTAAAGATAAGATTAACCACTTCATCGATTACAAAAACTAAATCCTCCTCAAATATATTCTTATGAATATTTTTAGTCGTAGGTTCTATCTCCTTCACATTAATTCTATCAAAAGTTTTAATAATTTGAAGTAATTCATCACACGATGAATCATTATTTGATGAGACAAAATTATTTAAATCAAGTTTCTGCTCACCTAGTAATTGAGAATTTAATTTGTAATTAATACTTGTTTGATAATAATCCATTTCTATATTTGTTTTTGTGATAATTAACGTTAACGTTAATCTTTGGCAAGCAAATTTTACTAGTTATAATCACAAACTAATTATGAGAAAAATTTAACTTAAAATACTTATAATCTTTGGTTTATTATATCCGATTATTTATCTAATTTAATAATTTTCTAAAAATGTTTGTAACATAATCTATCAAAGAAACTTACGTCTTTTTCAAACAAATAAAGAATTAGAAATGGTTTATAGAAACGCCAAATCAATTTTATTGGTACAATAATTATGGTGTAGTACTGCAGTAAAAATGATGTAATGATTATTGTGGCGCAAAATTTGGCCCGCAGGCGTAGTGAATTTGCAGATCAATTCTTACCGCATCTTCGGCTAAACATATTTGGTGTAACATATTATACAATAAGGGATTGCATTTAGAATTTGAGATCTACGCCTCCTTATTTGGAATCTTCATCAGACAAACAGAATCATCAGTTTGATGTCTCCAACCCTATCAATGATCTGACCTGCCAGATCCACTCCTCCACGAAACGCATATTATCACCTGCCTTAACCTATATTTACTTATCGAAAAACTTACTTTACCAGACCCGTAGTCGCTACTCCTTCACCGTGGCTGTCATTTATTATGGCGTTATAACAATTATATCTCCTCTACATTATCCATTCAAGGTCCCTCTAACATCATCTATTTCTCAGGTGTAGGACTGTAGGTTAAATCTCAAAGGCGCGATTTCTCCCTTGTCTTGTCCTTCTGCTTTTACTTTTTATTACTTGGTATTATTGTTTTATTGGTTTCGTTTCGTTGTTGGATATATTAGTATATAGCCGCGGTGTCTAACAGTTTGGGTATTGATATTAGCAAGTATTACTTATGTATCTACAAAAAAAGAAGGGAAGCGTTTCATAAAGCTAATCTCACAGAAACAATGAAAGAATACCTTTCTTTTTTTTTGTACTTTCAGCTTCTGAGGACTATTCAGGATGCAGGCATGGTTATGTTAGTAAAAGTTTCTTTGAAGTTAATTTCAAAAAAAAAACTACATAAGAAATAATACACTGCGTCTAAAGAAGCTCAGAGAAGCCGAATTCTCTACAAAAGAATAAGCAAAAAGAAATGTTAACAACGTTTCATAAAGAAATTTGAAAGTTTGTAGTAGCTTTTTACCAAATTTCTAGTTTCCTTGTCTCATGTCTCTAAATATAAAAAAGAGTTTCTTTTTTTATTTCGTTTTTTAAATAAATAAATAGTTTTTTTTTTTAGATAAAGAAATATTTTTAAAAATAAAAAAAAATTTTTTTTTTAATAAAGGTATAAACGACTGAATGAATCTGCATATACTTAGACATTGTAGATAATTATAGGTAAATATTTTTTCATTATCCTTTGCAGATTCGTAAATCGACAAAAAAGTCCAAAAATTATTAAATCCCATATTTTTATAATGGAAGACGAAAACATTATTTTATTACATAATGTAAATCACATTATTTGTTTATTTTATCAAAAATTCATTAACTACAATACATTTTTGCTAATTCTGCTGAATCATAATCGTCTTCTTTATCAAATTCTATTAGCCAACTAGTATAATCAACTGAATCATCATTTTCATCACGCTCTACAGCAGGTGTAGTAGCATTTTGTAAGAATTTTGGATTGGACAAATCCAAAGTTTCTTCAAGTTCCAATGGCTCATCGTCAATGATTTCTAAATCATCATCAATAGCAGTTTGTTCCAAATTAACTTCAGCCATACTTCTTCCAAAGTTATTTCTTCTTCTACATCATATAAATCTGCATCTCTTAAAATTTGCTGAATTTCCTCTACACCATAATGTGATAATTCAGATTTACTATTAGCAATATGGATTTACGAAATTGCTTCAAGATTTTTCACAAAAATTCTTGTACGACGTGTTCTATGAATCCAACCACAAACAGACCAGACACATTCATAGTTGGGGCATGTGGTGAAACAGAAACAGTTTAATTGCATGATGTTGAAAAAATGGTGGTTTCACCTCACAAGTTCTCCACCATTTAAGAGGCGTGTCAATATTACGAGTATAAGATGCGTCATATGGAGATTGGTGTGCATAGTAATCACGTAATTGTGTCATAAGAACTTATTAATTAATAAAAAATAAAAAAAAATTATAAAATTATAAAAATAAAAAAAAAATCATCGGAAAAGCGAAATATCGGAGTTCAGCAAAGGAGACTGTACTGTTTGGCCAACTTCACTATCGCCCAAAAAGATTCTTATTGTTTCCTGTTTCACAAAGCCATGATGCATTAATTGCTATATAAAGGATAAAAAAATTATAAAAATAAAAATAAAAAAAATAATAAATAATATAAAAAAAAAATATATTTTAAACTTCTCTCCATCTTATTCATATAACAATAATTTAATTAGCACTAAAAATAATCTATTTTTTATTAATTAATTAAAAAATTTATCTTACCATTGTACTATTAATTCAACATGGAATTTAATAATTAATTCTTTTTCCTCATTTCTGAATTTAAAAATAAAAAAGACCTATTTTCCGCCAGTTGATTAATTTTATCCATTTTTTTTTTGGCGACTACGTCATACATATATACTGTACATATTTTACGTCTGTCTTCACTTTGAGACCACCATTGCGTAAAAACATCTTCCAAATTTGTCAAAATTTTTATATATGACTTTTATCATGATGATTTTTGAGATTGTGGGTTGAACAAACTTATCAGCTACAGACAGTATTACAGCTGATCAAAAAAATCCCCTAATTTTTTTTGGGGTGAAAATATAGAACATATAACAAAATACAGGGTGCGCAAATCAGGCCAATCAGCCGATATGTGCCCTTTTATGTTTAGTATTGTATTATAATTGATAATTTTATTTATACTATAATTTTTTTTTTGGTAAATGAAATACTTTATTATTTATTTAGAGAACATATAAAATTTATAAAATACAACTTGAGTTTGGCAATACCATTACCTACTACCTTAAATACCTCTTCACATCTCAATTTCCAAATCCTTTCGTAAATATATCACATATTATCAACAGTTTTGAATCAAATTTCTTGTATTATTTGTTTTCCAAATCTTCACATTAATAAGTCCATGCGTGATCTTGTATAATAAATTTTCTAAAGGAAATAACGCGACCTTAGCGCAACAATGTTATTACACTTTTCCTGTTCTTTCTTATCTTCTATTATTTGTTGACTACTTCCTTCCATAAATCATATAAACAAAATTTATTTTGATCACAACTCCAAATATGGTCCCATGACTCCGTTTCTTCATTACACCTGATACATCTAGTCATCTACTTGAAAAAATTCCAACACTTTAGAAACTCTTTCTTATCACAAATTTTCCCAAAAATACTACAGGATTTTTAAATAAGAGAATATGGGTAACTTTATAATTATTTTTTATTTTTATTTTTGTTTTTTGTTTTTTGAGGAAAGATGAACTTAAATTAGAAAAAATAGGCGAAGGTATTTTTTGGACTTTTAAGATTATTGTTGATCAAATGTTACAAAAATCCTGTCAGATGAAAAATATGACGTTAGCCATAAATGTTGCTTATTTTAAGCAAATATAACCTTTAACTGTGGCTAAATTGTGGCTAAGCAAATAATATTGTTGATGCACAAGTTAGAAAGATGCAAATGTGAGAAAGTGTATTATTTGCTTATTTTTTCTTCTCTTTAATATAGAATTAGAAAATTAATTTTTTTTTTTTATATTTTGATTTAATAGATAGTAATATTGTTTTGTTAAATTACTATTTGACTTATTAAATCTCGACAATCAGAATCTTGCTACAACACACAAACCCGACGCTCACAATCCCGAACTTCAAAATCCCGTAACCACATTATTCCCGATATTAATTATCCAGACCTTACTATCTGACACGACACGCTATTTTTTTTTATTACTTTTTTATAGACGTAATATTATTGTAATAATTTTTAAAATATATCGCAAAATTATAGTTTTTAATATAAAAATTAATAAGTTTTTTTTAATATTTAATAATTTTAGTAAAAATAAATGTTTTTATATAATACATTGCAGAAATTAAGTAATAATTAATTATTTTATTAATATGTAATCATTTTTTTAACATTGTTTTATTGTAAAAATTATTTCTTAAAAAGGATAATGAGTGTTAATCGGGATAATGAATGTCGAGAATAATGTGGTTACGGGATTTTGAAGTTTTTAGATTATGATTTGTCGGGATTGTGAGCGTCGGGATTGTGTTTTAGCAGGATACTAAAAATCAGGATTTTGAACGGCTCCCGAGTCTCACATATTGTTATTTTATTTATATTCTGAAAATCCATATATTACAAGTCTGTATGGATTTGCATACTAAAAACCATATAGTGCATACACAAAAAACTATATTATACAGATTTAAATAGAACTCAATGTATAAATGTACGAGTCAGGTAAGTAGAATGTACAGAGTGGAATCGTCTTTGATGATAACTTACCCATTAAAAAAAAGCTCGGGCACGTGACATTCAGCTAACAATATCTCCACCTTCAGATAGAAAACGTAATCCTAATCTAACTCTATGTGATAAATAAAGGCGTGGCAAATAGGGTTTCACGTTTCTGTCCCCTAAATAAATGGATTGTGACAAAATATTTCACTATAATCACGTGCCCGCGTTAACGACAACTTCGCAAATAATATTTTCAAAAATGGCAAGAATGCACTTGATATAATGTAGATATTAACATTTAAAGAAAATAACATGATGTCCATATAAGTAAAATAAAAAAAATAATAAGGGGCGTCAAATCGTGATCCCAAACCAATTGGCTGTGTATCATGATAAAATGTGTAACGAGAGATCAGGATTAAATGAATTACATAATGTTCCTAACCTCATCTAAAAAAGGAGAGATAAACATGTTATTTCGTACACAAACTCTGTGATTGCTATCTTTGTTCGACCAATGTACTACTCAATAGTTCGATTGTACTACAGTACCTCCTTACATAAAAAGAATAATTATTCACAAGATAAGTCCTTATTTTTTACTCTTCTAGATAATACTGAAATGGAATTTGTCAACAAATATTGTGAAACAGTTAACGATCTTCAAATATCAAATAAAATAAATGTTGATAAACATACCATTAATAATTCATCATGTACGGAATTATTTCAAATCATCCAACATTTTAGTAAAATAAATATGAAAGAAGTAGAACCTTCAATTAAAAATATTAATGAAACCATATTTGAAGGAGATTTAATACTTATAGTTGATGAATTGGTTAATCTTATTTTTAAGGAGATGAATGAAGAGAAAGATTATAAAATAATAAAGAAACATGTTTATAATTATATAAATAATCATGAGACAAATTCACAAGAAATCTACAACTGTATTTTAAATAATCAAAATGATTCAAATAATTCTATCTATCTACTTGGATATTTTAATTATCATGGAATTGAAACCAATATTAATAAGCAAAAAGCGTTCAAACTATATGAAAAAGCAGCAGAATTAGAAAACATTGCAGCTCAATTTAGTTTTATTAATATTTGTATCTACGAAAAAGGTAATGAAAAATATCATATTAAAGCTTTTGAATTATCAGAAAAATTAGCTGAAGGAGTGAATCCAAGTGCATTAAATACTTTAGGATATTGTTATGAGAATGGAGTTGGAACTGATATTGATGAACAAAAAGCGTTTGAGTTATATCAAAAATCGGCAGATTTAGGAAATTCAAATGGAATAAATAACTTAGGGTGGTGTTATGATAGTGGGTTTGGAACTGATTCTAATAAGAAAAAAGCATTTGAATTATATCAAAAGGCTGCAAATCTAGGAAATTGTTTAGCACAATATAATATTGCTTTAATGCATGAAAAAGGGGAAGGTACTGAAAACGATATAGATAAAGCAATTTATTGGTATGGAAAATCGGCTGCACAAGGAGATCCAGTTGCTCAAAATAAACTATTCAATCTTTTAGAAGAATGAATTTAAATATGATAAGGTTTTATTTTATTTTTGAAATTAAGTTTTGCATTTTATTATTGATATAAATAATTTCTTCAATTTTTAAATTGAAGAAATTAAACTATAATTATACAACCAATAAACTTTCATTCAGTTAAATTGCATTAATATTCAATGCAAGAGGTATTTCCCGATTTCATAGTGCATGGAATTTTTTTTTAAAATTATATAGGTTATATACGGTAATAGCAATAAAAGAAATAAATGAATTATTGTTAATAATTTTTTTCCTATTATTTGATTAACGTTTAATATTAATTAAAACAAGTAATTTTAATTAAATTATAATATTTAACAAAAAGGATATCAATAGATCAGCTATGGAATTGCAATTTGAAAGACAAATCTAAATTAAAGGAAATAGATTTAATTGGATAAATTACTCATTTTTTGTTTAACGTGATGCGAGGTTATCATGTGATTTTCGTATTGAAATGTGTGAATCACCTTTTTACACGAACTTTTAATATTTTAAATCGGATTTTTAATAAATATATAAATATTCCACCAAAAATTTACAATACGTATTTTATTTTTTTTTTGTTACTTTTTTGTAAAAATCATTAAATTTTCTTTTTACATGAATTTTTAATATTTTTTGAACAATATTTTTTATACAGAGTGGATTAGAGGCGGACTTTTTTTTTTTTGAATGTTAATTTGTTGCCCAGTGATGATTTTAAAGACGATCAAAAGCCCATTTGATTTTCCATAATTAATGATGTTATTTTCATAGCGCGACAAATTAATGCAGTTTAATATTCCAAAAAAAGTCCTCATGGTGACTTTTGTCACTCCACTATATCAATATAAATATAAAAAAAAAATTTTACATATAAAACTATTAGGTGAATATTTTTAAACATTTAATTTTATGATTCATAAAAAAGATCAGGTTTAAAAATATATGTAAAAAGGTGATTCAAATAATTTTTATATAAAAATCTAAAAATCCCATATAATTAATATTAACGTTAATTGGTATTGATTTTGAATTTTTGATGATTCACAAAAAAAAAACTGATATAAATTCGTGTAAAAAAAAGGGATTCACATTTTCAATACGAAAAATCGTATACGATTTACGATTACGTACGTAACTTAAGTATTTTGAGTGGATAGTTGACAACCTCGGCAAATCGGATTTTCTCAATACGGTAATAATGCAATAATTCAACCCCGATATACCGTAGATATTTAAATCTTCAGGAGCTTGTTATTTAATTATTAATATAATAAATGTTTTAAATCGGAAGGAATATGTGAAAAATTATTTCACGAGTAATTTAATACAGCATATAAATTTAATTAAATTCATGAGAGTAAACACACATATATATATACATATAGAAATGAGTAAATAAAAGGATTTTTTTTTATTTAATTGATGGTCTGAGGATTTCCACAATATAGTACGTACCCTATAAAAAAAATTCCGAAAAAACTCTCATTTTTCTGAAAAATATTTTATAGGGGTATAGTAGATGACCTCTGGAAACGTAATCCACCTGTGATTCCAATAGGTTTCTTCCAAAATCAGTAAAAATACGGAGTTATTATCTGAGGGGACAAGAGTTGGAGTTTGACTCTTCGATCTTATTTCTGTACTCGGACAAAAGCTATATAGCACTTTTCGAACAGCAGGAGATATTAGATGGAACCCATATCCGCATAGTCAAACTTATTCTCTCATCTGAACAGATTAATATTTTTCAAAGTTTCGAAATTCATCCAATCCAACGAAACCGATATCTACAAATAAAAGAAAAATAAGATTTATTTTTTAAAAAAAAAGGTAAAAAAAGTTTCGAAGTGAAACGAAACATCGAAGCATACCTATCCAACGCGTAAGAACCATAACCGACATCAAATAAAAGAAAAAAATGTTAATTAAATTTTAAAAAAAAAATTAAAGAAATTTTGAAACGAAATTTCGAAACTCACCTACCCAAAGCCAAAGAATCGAAGCTGATATCTACAAATAAAATAAATTTAAATAAAAAAATAAAGTCTCTGAAACTTCGAAACTCAGATATCCAATGCCCAAGAATCAAAGCCGATATCTACAAATAAAAAAAATTAATTAAATTTTTAAAAAAAAAAATTAAAGAAATTTTGAAACGAAACTTTGAAACTTACCTATTCAGCGTCCAAGAATCTAAAACCAATATCTATAAAATAAAAGAAAAAAAAATAATAGAGATAAATTAATTTTTTAAGAAAGTTTCGCTTCGTAACTCACTTATCCAAAGCACTTATCAAATTGAAACTAATACAAAAAAAAATAGTTAGTATATGCTTATACACCTTTATTTAATAAATAAATATATTTTAACTTACTGGGAGTCGAGAACCTAAAAAAATGAAAAAAAGAAACGTTAGTACGTTTCTTCAACACAATTGAACGTCATATATTATACCAAGAGTTCGGTAACCTAAAAAAAAAAAAAAATTTTTTTTTTAAAAAAATAGAAATGAAACCGTTTTAGATTATCAACGATCAGTTAAAAAACTGATCAGAGCTTAACTGAATAAAGAAATGCCGCAGTTTTGGTATTTGAGACAGAGCTCCGAAAGGGTCGGTAATTGACTTGACCCGAAAATTATTAAGAAATTCAAAAAAAAACGTTTCCAACGTTGTTGAAAAACGTTGCGAAAACGTTTTTTAGATAATTAAAAAAACGTTCTTATTTATTTTTTATTTAAATATAAAAATATTATTTAAAATTCATGATATTGTATAAATACATTTTCTAAAGTATATTTTACACATTTACATAAAATCCATGTTGAGTCCTTAAAATAATATAAAATAGTGTATGTAAATTTTATATAGAATTTTCATATAAAACTCCTACACAAAAAATAAAGGTATGATGATAAAATTAAGTTACTAAAAAATTTGCATAATTAACTCAATTATGGTTAAAAAATATTTATTATAAATTCAAAATGTCATGATTTTATTAGAAATGAACAAGTTCAAAATAAATCACATTTCATATATTTTACATTTTATAATCCTAACTCCCCTTTAAACATGTTTGTAAAAAAAAAAATAAGTTTCATTCTATCTAAAACATAAAAATAATGAATTATGTGATTTCAAAGGTACTGAACTTATTGCACAATTCATTTTAATAACTATGTCATTCCTAATATTGAAACATACTGTATTATAATGCAAAAAAAAAAAAATAAATAAATAATGGATACTAATCTAGCTAGTTATTTTTTTTTATTTTTTAAAACAATTTGAAAAACTTCAAAGTCATCTGCTTTAAATCTTGCTGGCATACCAACTTCAGGATAAGAAGAGACAGAACTATTTTGAATTGAATTGCTACACCACTCATTATTATTAAAAAATAAGTCAATACTACCGCCAAATGCTGGACTAACAGATGGACAATTTCGTATAGAATATTGATTATCGTTACTATAACTTACTTTTGCATTTTGAAGGTCATTTTTATCTATAAATGAGAATAATAGGCTATCATAAGTAGATTCCCATGCATTACGCGAATCCCAATAAAGTGGATTATATCCTCCAACTATTTGTTCTGAATTTGTGATTTTTACTATAACAATTGTAACACCTTTATTATCACATTTAGTATGAAATGCTGCAACTGTATTACAATCCCTACTAGCACGATAAATTAAATTAAAATTATAAGGAATATTTTTTTCATTATAATGAAACTGATTTTTCATTTCAATCCAACTAGAAAAAATAGCAAAATGTTTGTTATTTATGATAATAGAATCATAAATACATTTTAGTTTCCTAGGGGTTGTATATTATTAACATTTAATTGATTATCTGGAGTCATATGAAAAGCAAGTATATTATCAATTAAATCCTCTGGCATTATTTTTTAAAGGGTATACTTTAGCAATAAAGTCAGCAGAAGGAATATGATAAAATCTTATCAATGGAGTAAATCTATAAATAGTTCTCTCCATAATCACAATTTCTTTTAAAGAACGATGTATTACACAACGTTTGGTCGTTTTATTTTATAAAGGAAATCACATGAAAATCACATAATTATGCAATGTTGTTATTCACGTGTTTATCGCTGTTTTCAATTTGGTGCGATCATAGAGGGCGGACATGCTTATTATCACCTGACGATCATTAATCAATTTAATAATATACCTGCCGATCATTTAACGCTCAATATTAACTTAAACTACTTATAAATTTGAAGATACATTAATATCTGAAATTTTCAATTGGAGCAAAATCAATAGATCTATGTGTTATGTGATAAAATCGAATAATCGCACTAAAAATTGATGGCAGAAGATGAATATGCATGGCAGAAGTTTAAAACTTTGCATAGATATTCTTTACATCATACAGGTTTTTTACTTGTAAAGAATTCAGCTAATTATAACATTTGCTTATTAAAAATTAAAAGGTTATTACTTATGAAAGTTAGCCAGTAATGATTTGATTTGGATAAAAATCTATTTAATTAAAACTTGATATAAAATAAGATTTTCAGTAATATTCTGATATATAAAAAATATAACGGCACTAGTGATAAAATTGTGAATGATCGGCAAATGATCGGCAAAAGTGAAGTGATAAAATGAAGATGTCCCCTAAAAATAATCAATTTTTAAAAATTTGTGAATACCCGTGATTTTTTAAATAATCATCTAGAAAAGGGTTGATTACCTATGATTACCGGGGAAATCATGGAAAATTCCCAATAATTTGAGTAGTTTACTTATAAAAATCTGTTATTGTTACACAAAAGTTAAAAAACTTGCTTATCAACTATTTTCTATATGATTTTTTAGGAAAATCATGGGTATTCACAAAAATTTTGATAATCATATTTTTATGGGAGTGCTAGCTGTGATCGCACTAAATTGAAAACAGCAATAAATCAACTTATACCATAGGTTGTAAAAATGGTTATTTGTAATATACCAGAAATTAATGTTTAATCGCAGCAAATTTTGGCACCATTTTCCAAAAATGTGTTTACTTTGAAAGTAAAATTAAAAGTATTCAAATTTAACATAAGACCTTACAAACAAAAAAATATAATTACTTCCAGAGTTATTAAAAATAATTTTTATTTAATTTAGAAGAAATCATAAAAATAAAAATGTATATTAAATTTTTTTATTAAATAATATAATTTGGTCTGTAGTCCGTAGTCCGTACAATACTGGTACATAATTAGCGTTATTAATTATAAGTTGTTAAATAAAGAATGAAACTACATAAAAACATGATAAACTATATAGTAAAATAATTTAAAATTTAATTAATTGGTAAGTAGGAGACCTAGTTTTATAAGAATTATATTCAATAGCATCACTGCTAAAATTCAAATATACTCTTCTAGCATCATCAGATAATTCTTTCCACTTTTCAGTTGCAAGCTTGGAAAGAGTTGATCTAAGAAAGCTATATTTATGAAGTACTTCATATTCTTTTTTAATGACAAAACAAGAAAATGTTGACCTTGAAAATGTAAGTTTTGGATCGAAACTGTTGAATGAGAATTTTATTGGATGATTTACTGTTTGAATATTCTTATAAATAATTTTATGTATTATTAGCTAGTTCGACTGCAGAAGTTGCAGTAGTTAAAATTATATTCTTTTCTTGTGACATAATTTTTTTTTTAAAAGAAAATGTTACAATTTCTTGAAAGAAAATAAATTTATTGTGGACGAACGGACTAAAAATTCCTATTGTTAATCCTTTATAGTTTATATTATGTGCGAGTTACACAGAGAAGTGTTTTACTTTGGTTACTCAGGTTAAATTGATTGAAAATCTTAAAAATTTTATCATATTGACGAATAACAAAAAAAATTTTTTCCTACAAATAACAAAAATATTGATAAAAAATTTTACTAACCATTAATCCCATCTTTATTTCTAATATGTTGATAAATAACAATAAAATTATATTATCATTAAGCGCGCCCATTTATCGTTAAATTGTCTCCGCAGTAAAATCTCAATTCTCGCAATAAGTAACGTGGCTTAGACCAAATTTATTTATAATAATAGACAAGATGGATAGTCGATCTACAATCTCTTTTTTTTTTTAAAAAAAAAAATTTTTTTATTTTATGACCGAATTTTAATTAAATTTTTATTCCTTATTCAACTTTAAAAATATTTCATTTGAAATAATCATATAATATTCTCAATATCTGAATTCTGAAACAAAATAAAAACAATTATGATTTATTTATCACAAACTTGATTCAGACAAACATATTTTAATAACATATTCCATTTTATATAAATATATTCTATAAATATTTTACATATTAACATTACATATTTAACACTTACATCATTATATTACCACATTAACTCCTTATCATACAACATAGAAACTTTTTAAAATTTACCCTTATTACTCCAATTAATTTATTTATTAATAGTACGATATTTACAAAAATGATATAAAATGAGTAAACAATTTACAAAATGAAATCTATTTAAATCAAAAACTAAATTGATCTCACATTACCATCATCATCTTTCGGACAAATGATCCTAATAATAATAACAGCACTGAGATGGCATTGATCAAGGCGAATCCATCTCGCAATTTATTACTTACGGCATGTATTTTATGACCTATATTATCGTAGCATGGCTATGAAAAATGGGATGCCTATGAAGAAATCAACATAAGTTTATAAAGCATCTATTAGTTCTTCAATTCTAATGAATTCTGAAAAAGCAATATTGTTAATATTACAAAAGTTTCTGACAACATAATTCGATCACATAGAAACTACATTTCATTTCACGTTACTTTTGGCTCGAGTATGCAAATAGAAATTTTTGAAAAGAAAATAATAGCCCTAGAATGCTTAAGTATTAGTTATTTACTGATCTAGTAGTATATAAATGGCCATTATACTAAACTAGATCAGTAAATAACTTTTTTATCATCCTAGATATACTAATTGGTCCGCCAGTTTATAACTGGCGGAAAAAATCCTAAATACCAATTAGTAGCCACGTGATAATAAAAGTTATAAATATAGGAAAGAATGGTACGGATAACAAAATTTTCTACAGTATATAATTACGTTAAAGTGAATTGTTGCTACATTTTTTTTTTATTTTTTTTTCCCTCTTTTATTCAATTTTATTTAATTTACTAATGTATGGATTATTGAACTCAGTATTCATCTTGTCATTATATATAAATAAATAGCTAAAGTTTATTCTGAAAGAAACTGACAAAATTGAAAATTATAAACAATAAAATTATTTAGCTTGTAATAATATAAAAATTTATATAATAAATATAATGTTCAAATTAAAATGTGATTTACTTATTAATAAATTTAGAATAACTAATTATTTTGCATTAATTTATTGATTAATTATAATAAATATATAAATACAAAAATTTTTTAAATTATAGAATCCTGAAATCCTGATTAATAAGGACATCATATGTCCGAATTCTGGTGAACCAGCATTATATTTGGCCCAAATTATAACTATGGGCAACCTATTAAATAATAATAATAACACTGTGTGTCTGAAATCCTATTAAAAAGGACATCATATGTTCGAGTTTTGGCGGGTCAGCATAATTCCACATGAATTTTTCAATATTAGCCCTGTTCAAAATCGTTCGGTTGCATTTTTCGATCAGTCAGGAATAAAGCAATCTTATTGGTAGAAAAAGTTCGATCCAAAAACCTAAAAAAATATTGGCCTAAAAGATCGGTCACGCAAACAAATGCAGCAGATCCGTCCAATCAAATTAAACCACAACCGACCAAAAAATGCGACCGAACGATTTTGAACAGGGCTATTGGGTAGTGTTGTAAAGTTCGGCCTAAGTTATGTAGTAGCCTATGAGAAACAGGGACCAAGTGAGTTGCCCATTGGTCGGATTGGGCCGCCTATATAAGGTTATAATATATATACTTGTGACATAAAATGACAAGTCATTTGTCATTTGTCATTTGAATTTCAAATGATCAGTCATTTAAGTCATTTGATCAATATTAAATATTTTGAAAGTTTTTATCAATAATCTTATTTAATATAATATACTGTAAAGTAACAAAATATAAAAAAAATCTTGTTTGTCTATGTAACAAAAAATTTTTTCATAGTGGCAAAAGATTTTTATATTACGTGATTTATAATTTATATTTAACGAAAGAAATCAAATAATTTACTAATTTTGCAATTTCTTGCCTTAACGATCAACTCAAATTTACTGGCCAACCAAATGAGTCATACTGAGGCTTCTTTTAAGTACTAACATTTCTGCATAATTAGCAGTCTTGAATCAAAATTATCCATATAAATTTTATTTAACATTAATTTTCACGCACATATCTTGTTTTATTTTAGCATTATAATTTAAAGTATAATTATAAACTAAAATTAAAAAATTATGCTATATAGTAAAAATGCAAAATACAAGTCAAAATTTGGATTATTTAGCTGAAATTGCTTTTTAATATTTGATATATCAATGTAATTTTTTTATTGGCTTATTTCTAAATTTGTATGGAGTGGTGAAGAATAATAATGTAACAACAAATTTAATCAACCTAATGATATTATTGTCCGAAGCGTAGCGGAGGAAATTAACAGTTAGACATATTGTAATGTCTGTCCGCACGCGTGATTAACCAATAAGATGTATTATTGATTATTATCACGTGATCAGATTTTTCGGTGATGCGTGATTTTAAACGAGTGCTTCGGACATTACAACGGATCCCGTTACCTAATATATAATAATAGTTATGTAAAATGATTTATGAAAAAAAAATAAATAAATGACTAGGTCATTTCTGAACACTGCCTTAGTGGGGTAACCTAGTATCGATTTACTGATTTAAACATACATGAAATAAATTTTAGCAAAACAGTTTAGTCAATTTTCAACTAGATTTTATAGATTTCATCTATAATTTAAGCTAAAAACACCTATATGAAATTTAACTGAAATGGACTATTTCAATTTCAACTAGTAATAAGATTTACTTTCAAAGAGAAAACATAAAATATATTTATTCAATTTTTATAATTGATTACAAACTGGTCTATTTAATACATTATTCATAATTTCCAATAATTCCAGTGATCAAATTATAAAACTAATGTAATATTAAATTATTTTGCATGTATTTCCAATAATTTCTCTAATTTCTCTTCTAATTCCTCAAACTTACTTAATTTCTCTTCTAATTTCTCTAATTTATCTTCTAATTTCTCTAACTTGTCTAATTTCTCTAACTTATCTAATTTCTCATCATTAGATTTTACTTTCTCCAATATTGCCTTATTGTCATTAGGATTACATTTAATTTGAAGTTGTTCCAATAATTTTTCTTGCATATTTATGAATTCCTTATTATCCCATTCACCCTCTTTAATCAATCTTTCAATTTCTATTCGAGTCTTATCAACATCAGCATAATAATGTCTTGAAAAATAAATTAGAATAATTAATAAAATCATGTCATTATATTTTCTTTAATAAAAAGCAAAATTACATACATTACTTCAGGAAACCATGTTCGCCAACGTCTCTGATGTGGTAATAGGTAAAATAACTCAATCTCAGCCAAAATCTTTAAGAAATAAAAATTGAGAAATATATCAATATATTTATAGAAAATAGAATGAATAATATTAATATTATTTACTTCTGCCTTCTGTAACAAATATGAGACTCTATTATTATCTTCTTCAATTGCATTATTGAGTAATCCAATCAACAAGTTCATAAGATATACAACAACCAAGAGGGAAAATAAAACAATCAATATTGCAATTGATGGATTATCTGCATATGACCAATTGGATAATGCACTTGAATCACCTATTGATAAGAAAGAAAAAATATTAGAAAAATGTTTATATATAGTTACTATGAAAGATTTAAATATATTGTACCTGCTAAAAATAAATATATAGCAAAAAGAGAAGTTCTAATATCTATAAACATGTTTGTATTTTTATCAGGTGTTTGAATCATAAATGGATTGGGGTTTATATTTCCATTATTATCAATTACTTGACTATAACTAGGAGCTAAACTCCAAGGATTATTCGGATCATCATTATTTGTATGTTCAAGTGAAAATTCAGATTTTGGTGATAATAAAATATAAAATGCATGTGCAAAACTTATTATAATAATGAATATGACTAATAAAAAAGAAAAAATCTTTTTTCCAACACTAATAATAATTGCAAAATATACGCCAAAATATTCAAATGCTCTAAAAAATAACAAAAACTTTATATCCAAAAATAAGCATGAAAAAGAAAGCAATTGAATTAGATAATTATTATTCTTATCATTTGTTTGAAGCCAATAAATAGAAGTGTAAATTGAAAGTACATAAGCAATTATATCTGAAATATTAAATTATTATATAATTAATTTCATTTTCTTAAATATTGTAAATATATAAATTAAACATTTATATTTACCAAAAATATTCCAAAAATTCTTGAGCCACTTAGTAACATTATAAAAAAATTGACGAATTTCTAAAATCAGATGAATAAATCCAAGTATAATTGAAGCAATAAAAAGTTGTTGTCTAACTTCTTCACTAATAAATTGCCGAGGAATTGTTGCAGCAGCGGTAAAGCATCCAAGTAAAGCCATAAATAAAATCCAAATCATTGCATAATAATATTTTCCATAAGCATTCCATTTAAAATTAATTAATGCTTCACCATTCCATGTTTTGTAGATATTTCTATTTATTGATTTAGTAAATGGACTAGGTTGAGGTCTAATTAATTCTAAGAGCCAATTATAATCTTTTGAATAATTAACAAAATTAATATAGGGAATCATAAAGGTAATTGTTGGTGTTGTTGTTATATCTTTTTGAAAGTATTTAAAAATTTTAACAGCACGAAAATAAGCAGAAGAAAATACTACATCTAAAGGATAAAGGTTATTAATAAAATTGTATTTTGATAAAATATAAAATGTAGCCAAATAAAGGGGTAAAGTTAAAAGTATTATTAAAGCTTGCAACGTTAACATAATTTTTAACAGTAAATCTCTATATATATAATTTTTTTTAAATATGCAATAAACTTTATAACAATATTTTGTCCATAAAAGAGATTTCGATAAATTAGCTATTTGAGGAGATTGAAAACAAGAATAAAGATGTAAATTTTTATTTTGATGCCTTATTCTATAAAAAGAAGAATCTATTATCATATTCGTTTCTGATGAATATTTTGGAATATATTCTGGATAATATTCATCTAGTAATGGCATTGCAGAAGTGATAATGCTTAATAATGACTTATTGTTCGGATCCTCTTTAAAATAAGTCATACATTTTTTATAAATATCATTAATTAATTCTATCTTATGTTCTTTAATTGCAAATGTTAATAATTCAACTCCATATTTCAAAAGACTTGACTTATTATTCATTACATGTGAAACCCATCCATTTAATCTAAAACTTTCATAATTTGGTAATGGTAAAGTAGATTTTGAAAATATTCTTTTGTTATGTTGAAGTATTTCCATATATTTTTTGTTATTGCTATCGTCATATCTATAATCATCGAAATTCATAAAATAAAAATAGTTTAAAGAAATAGATTTGTTATTTTCACTAAAAGTATAAATAAGAATACCAAATGTTGTCAATATAACAATATTATTATTATTAAATAACGAGCTCACAATTAATTCATGTGAGTTAGAGGTTCCTGAGTAAATTGTATAAGGATAATGATAATTTTCAATTCTCATGCTAATTAATTCCCATCCAGTATTAATTTTTTTGAAAACTTCTAGTCTAATTTCACCACCACGTTCAGCATATATTTCCCATTTAATTAAATTTTCAATTGATTCAGTTAATTTTTCTTTACTATCGCATGTGGCTCTTTGAAATAATGTAGATACAGTATCCATATATTGATTAAATAAAAGAACATTTAAGTGATTGTAAGTTTTCTTGTCATGATCATCACATTCAATAACTTTAGTTTTTGACATATTTTCGTAAAATTTAGATTTCCAAACACGTTCATTTAGAATTCCAAACATAAACTTTGTTTGATCATCAGTTGGTTTATAAGTTAGTTTATCAAATAAAGTTTGATTACGCAAATTTTTGTATTTACTATTCCAGCAATATTTGATTTCTTTATCTGGTGTATAATAGAATAAAGAGGGTAAAAGAAATAAACCAGTATGATTCATAAAATTATAAAGTTGAATATCTAAATAAAAAAAAAATAGTGATTTAATATGAGTAATAATTAAAGTATAAATAAAATTTATTAAAAATGGTTACCATCATTTATATCCAAAGAAGCAATAGGAATTCCTAATTCGATTGAATAAACGATGATTTTATCATTGGCTTTTAAAATATTAAACTTTTCATTACTGAATATTCTGATAAGACATGTTTCAAACTAAAAAATAAATAATATTTAATATATTTAATTATAATATAACATCAATTGGGTTTGAAAATAATTTTATAATATTTATTACCTTATTCTTATCCTTATTATTAACAAATATTTTTATACTTTTTTCAGTATTAATATTCCATTCATAAATGCAATCATTTGAAAACAGGTAAACATTATCATATTTTGATATACTAATTATTTCATAATAATTATAAGGTATCTCGTAAAATCTCTTACATTCCCATTTGTTATATTTAGTTTGTGTTGAATAAATCCAAATAATTTTACGTTCTCTATAATTTTCATATAAAATAAATTCACTTTTTAAATTAAAGGTACAATACCGCGGATCAACTTCTCTATTAGAACTTAATGCAATTTTTTTATCTTCACTATTCATATCGATTATATTGACTAAAAAAAAAAAATATTAAAATAAATATCAATTACCATAAGTTTATAATTACATAATCAAATGATTATTACTTACGGCCATAACGATATTCACGATGACAAGCATAAGCAACTTTCTTATCATCAGAAACACATAAACCAGTAATATAATCAATATTTTCGATAATTTTAACAGTTTGATCAAATTTAAGTTGAAACTTATCCATATCTTCAACATTCCAACCGACAATTGAAAGATCTTTTTCACTATAAGTAATAAGGTATTTATCATTTGGTGATATTTCTATCTTAGTAATAGGTTTACCATTATGTCGTTCATCATCGAAGGTAAATATTTTATCAACATCATTTTTATCAACATCGATTTTATCAACATCGATTTCAATTTTGTTAGAATCATCGTTAATTTTTACTGAAATGTCATCCATTTGGTAATCGCTTATAAATATATAAATTTATTACCAAAAATTATTTTTTACCTCGTCCATTTGCGATTATATACTTTTTTTTTATTGTGCAAACATGCATGGCTATACGTAATATTTCCTATTGCATGAAAAAAAAAAAATTTTTTTATTGTGAAGAGTTAATTGAGCTTTTTATTTTGTAACACGTGTAATAAATATGCATGGCTGTACGCCTCTTGCATAAAAAAAAATTCTTTTTTATTATGAAAAGTTATTGAGCAATGATCAACTTCCGACATATTTTTCATCGTTAATCAAATCTAAGTATTTTTTATGGAAAGAGATATGCAAATATTACGTTATTCTAAAGAAATACTTGTTTACCTCCTATAATCAATTTTCTCCTATAACAAAGACTTTTATAACCGAAAATAAATATTTGGCGTTTATCCGACATATAAAAACTACTTATTCATATATTTATTTAGTTTTTTTTATGAAACAGTGTCCTGATAAAGTTATTATCTTATGCGGATAAAAAAAAAAATTTTAACCGTTACTGTCCAATTTTCTTTTTTTTTTAAAAAAATAAAAAAAAATCCTTTTACATTTCTTGTAAGACCGTTTATCTATAATGATTTATGATTCTATATATTAAATTGTTCGCTCTTAAACCAGAACCCTTTATTTTTATATCATTGTAAAATAAAATAAAAAAAATTAAGCATTTTCTTAGTAACTATTAATTTAATTTCAGTGAATTTGTCATTATTAATTCAGCATATTACTCATATATAATCATTTACGTTACCACTAATCCTGGATATAGATATAAAAAAAAAAAACTCAACTATGTACCCGATGAAACTCCGTTAGTTTGTCGCTATTGATCACATAAGATGTTAAAATTGTTACAATTATTTTGTAGAATTTCACACTCAACGAATACAGGAGCCTCAACATTCACCGCATGAGGTGAATTACTGAATTACCCACAATGAAAGGATTATTTCCAGGAAGAGGGTAGGAACGGTCACAAGATGGGTTAAAAGCGTTCACACCATTGCAAAACATTTGAAAAGATTTGTGGACTATTGAAATCGCTTATTTGAGGCGGCAAAATCTGTCCATTAATATTAAGAGTAACCGCTGGCGTATTAGAGCGTTCTCAAGCATCTCCCTCAATGTGATTGAATGATGATGTCATTGTGTTCAAGTATCACAATCAATAGAGATATCGATAGAATTAAAAGCTTGAGAAAGCTTTTTTTTTTGAGCTACATGATTTTATTTGGTTACGATTTTTTTTTTCAGATAATTATTTTCATAATTTTAGAGTGTGAGAAAAGTGTTGTAAAAAAATATGTAAAATCTTGAACGAGCTTGAGCATACTCTATCAATTGTAGATCATTGAAGAAAAAAGGTGACTCATTTGTTTTTTCATCAAAATGGTAACTCTCTGATATTTTTTTGGCCAATCAGATCGTTCATCAGTCTATCAATTGAGGTGCTTGAGAACGCTCTTAATCACATTACCGTTCGGGAGATAACTATATGTAGTTCTCATATCTCTGCCCCAAACATTGAAATTTAGAAAGTTTCGAGAGTTTGCCATAACATGAAGACGAATGATAAGTTTCTTCCAGAATTTTTTTTTTTTTTGATTGTACAGTAACTTTCAGAAGTTTCCTAATCTGATTTGCTATAGTACTTTACGCACTCACAAATAAGATATTAATTTTTCAAAAAGTTTGATGGTATGATGCAAGGGAGACAATTGCGCTTAGCATATTAATTTGTTGATTACCAATTAAAGAGATAAAAAATAAAATATATAATATAATATAATATAATAATTAAAAATAAATTAAAATTTATGCAAATGCTGTTCTATATTTTCTTTTGTTATATAAAAATCAGCTAAATATATATATATTTTTTTTTTACGATCTTTTTTACGAGACTTTTTATAAGAAATTTTTTATAATGTATTACGATACAAGTTAAACTATTATTTACAATATTACTTTATAATAATTTATAATCGACAAGTATAAAAGTCACTAATTTAGTAAGTACCCTTAATTTAGTTATGAAAAATCGTCATTCTATTAATTTGGAAAAGGCAAAAATATAAAAAAAAATTAAAAATAAAAAAAAATTAAATAAACAAAAAACAAGTAAACACTTATATTCACGTGAAAGTATTAACAAAAAAATAAGTATTAAAACGATACTTTATCACCGTTTTCAAACAATGTAGCCTGAAATTAGATTACTGGAGGGTCTCAAATCATCCCTTTTTTAAATTTTTTTTTTTTTTTTAAAAAAAAACTCTTTTTTATTTATTATTTATAAAATTGCACCAATAATATATTTTTTTTTTTAAGAAAAATAAAACAAGTAATTCACAACAAGTTTTTAACATAGTGAACCTTTCTCCTTCATGCATTTATAGGATTCAATTGTCTTAATACAATCAAACCTTAAACAAGCTCTACCACATGCGTTGCAAAAGCACATCATACTCCTACACGCGAACGCAACTAACATTTCAAACCATGTCTTCACAGACTACTAACCTCGTTCATCTTATTCTTAGGGTCTTTTCTATCGACCAATAAATGACTTTTTTCATTATTTGTTAACTGTAAAGAAATTCAATTACATGTTTATTAAAGGATCATAACACCCAATCTAATAAACAGAAATGATCGATACCCGATTTTATCAAATATCATGCGAAATTATTTTTCCCTTTGATGATTAATCGTTTAAATAAAATTTTCTCGAAATTGAGCTTCAACAGGATGTAGAAAAGAAAAATAGCATTATTTGTTTCTATGTAAATAGGTAACGGTATCATGAAAAGTTCTTTTACAATTCATTGATGGACGATAGAATATGATAGTAAATGGAAAGAATTTATTTGCGCAGATGCCTGAACCACAGCAGTCACGTAAAGTGCGTTTGCAGTTGCAATATCTTATCGTAAAGAGTTAATGCTACATTTGTAAATTGTTATAATTAGTAAAGTTTGAATATTATTATATTAAAATGCTTAAATATTAAAAAGGTTTAAATAAAAGTTAAAAATATCCTATTTAATATATAGATTTTGTAAATGTATTCAAAATTAATAAATTAATAAGTCTAATGGCCAATAATCTTCAACGTCAGAAAAAAAAAAGTATTTTATTGGTGTAAATATAATGTCAATCATCATCCAATTATATCCAAGAATTACGTAATATTTGTTGCACAAATCTATTCATGAATATAAAACAGGACGTACGGGATTTTTTTTTTTTAAAAAAAAAAATAAAAAAAAAAAGTCAAAACTCAACGAAGACGTACTTTTTTTAATATTTAAAGAATTAAAGCATGATAAAAAATCACTTTATTCATGTCTTTTTGTTAATAAAACTTGGTGTGAAACAGTGGTACCTATTTTATGGGAAAATCCTGGTCAATATCACAGTTATAGCAGTTCAATGAATAAATTATTTAAGACAATAATTTTACATTTATCGGAAGAATCAAGAGATAATTTAGGAATTGATATTAATAGTATCACAGAAACATATCAACGTCCTTTATTTAATTACATTGATTACTGGAAGTTTTTAGATATATCTTTTATAGAAGATTTAATTTTTGGAAGAAGAATTATTAAAAATTCCAGCGCGTCTGTTACAAAAAATGAAATATTAAAGTTATTTATTAATAAAAATAGAAATACAAAATTTAATCATCTTTTTATCCAAGATAAATATAAAAAATATTATGATTATCAATTACATCATATTTCAGGGGCCGAACATTGCTTTTCAAATCTTGAATCCTTTTACTGCCAAGGTGATGTTGATCAAAATGTTATGAAAGTATTGGCTAAAATATGCAAATCGATTAAAAAATTTAGATTTGAATATGTCTCTTGCTGTGCCGATATTTCTTGGATCATTAAATTAATTGAAGTACAAAAAAAACTAAATTATGTTGATTTCACTGATGATTACTACAATAATGGATTAAATACTAATAAATCATTTTACAAGTCTCTTGAGGAATCTTTGATTAGACACGCTGATACTTCCATTATTTGAGAATGGATTGGAAACCTATTACAAAACTTCTTCATATCTTTCAAACTTATTAAGTTTAGAATTTAATATAACCCATTCTAAATGCTGGAATGAGTTAGATTATTTAAAGTATTTATCATTACCTAATTTAAAAATTTAAAGACTCATCGAGCTCCATCTAAAAGTTTAGTAAATTTAATTGAAAGCACAAAAGGGCATCTTACTGTAATTGATATAACTTATAATGGTATTGATAATGAAAGGCTTATTCAAGCAATATATCAAAATTGTCCAAATCTTAGATATCTTAAAATATCATTAATGAATAATACTAATTCACTTATTTCAGAATTTGAAAATTTATTAATTAATTGTAAATTATTAATTGAATTAATTATTGAAATATATGATAGATATATTAATTTATTTAGTTGGGATAAATTGTTTATTATATTAGCTAAGTCAGCACCAATTGGTTTATTTAAATTTAAGTTTCATTCCAAGAGATTTGAATTGGAAGATTTTAAATTATTTTTTGACAATTGGAAAAATAGGAATCCTATACTGTTAACAATAGGATACAATCCTTTTTCTATTAACCTGAAAGAATATCATCAATTAATAGATTTATTTGAAAAATATAAAGTGAAGGAGATAATTAAAAAATACTTCATTAGTTGTCTTTGAATGGAATTAAAAAAAAATTCTTGATTTAGATTTTTTGAACTTCATGATATATTATTTAGGCAATTTCTATTTGTACACAGGGTGTTTAAACACGGGTCATATTAGTAGATTAAAAACGGCATTCAAAACCTTCTTTAATGCCTTAAGTAAACTTGCAGAGCAGGTGAAAATACATATATTTATCTGTAATATAATAAGAATAAAAAGTTAAAGAGTATAATGTCGGTAGCATTCAATTTCAAATTAAAAAACAAAAAATTAGTCTATTAAAAATTATATTTATATGACCCGTGTACAAACACCCCGTGTAAACTTAGAAATTTTCTATTATTTATTATCATTTTAAAAAAATGGTTATCTATATTAATAAGTTTTGATTATGAAATATCTAAATAATATCTATATATAAAAAAATTTGTCTACCGTTTAGAATTAGTCTCCATAAAAATAATTTGAATTGTGTAACATGAAACCCGTGTCATAATATGAGTACCACATGATAATACTTGCGCCTGATCTATTCCTTATTTATTATTACACTAAATCGTTACGTAATTATTTTTTTAATTCAAACTTATTTTTTTATATTAAACCATAGTATATTTTTATTTAAACCTATATTTGCGATCCATCATTACATCTTAAAAAAAAATAATAATTGTAATTCTACAGAAATTCTTCTCTTAGATATTTCTTTTTTAGTAGAAAATAATAAATTGAATGATTTCTTATAATCTTTCATGTTAATTATTCGCCACGTTGTTTATTTAAAATAAATTCAATTGAAAATAACTAAATTGACTTTTCATCAATCATGTTTATATTGATTTCTTAAGTAAGATATTGAATAATAATCATTGACTTTGTTTACCAAATTATTTGAATATTAATGAGGATACTATCTATTCATTAAGTATGACAACTAAATTTGTTAAACACAAATTGTACTCGCTGAAAATAAAAAATAAAATAAAATTTTTAATTTTAAATTATCATATTATAAAGTATGGAAAGTACGATAATAAATTGGTAGTAATATTTTTCTTTTTTTGGTTGTGAGGCGTAAAATACTACGCCTCAAGGTCACAAAATTTATGTGGGCACAACATGAAATTTTGATCAAAAATTTGCATTTTACTAATTTATCACGGAGTTCGAGTGAACGAAATTAAAGTAAGTCATTTATTCTTTCTTTCTTATTGAATACATTATGTCCACTCTTCGATATGAGTTAATTGCTGCAACAAATAATAGAGCAACAACATTAACAGATACTAATATTTACAATGATATACACAAACAATTTGAATTTCAACGACAAACAGTCCTTGCTGATAAAATTCTTACAAATGATGAAAAAATCTATGCAATAAGAAAATTAGTTAAAAATTATGATCGGGATAAAGTTATGGATGATGATGGTGCAAGAAGAATTTGTGAAAATTGTAACCAAGAATGTTTAGCCACATTATATTGTGAATATTGTGTTCGAAATTATTTGCAAGAAAATTTTTCAAATTGGACATCCGAGAATGATGATATTGATAATTTAATACAGGAATGTCAAATGGAATCACTCATGCCAAGTAAAATAGTTGAATGGATCCCATATAGTAATTTAGAAAATATTGAATATTTAACAAAAGGTGGATTCTCAGAAATTTATACAGCAAATTGGATTAATGGAGATTATGATGAATGGGATTATGAAAAAAAACAATTAAAAAGATTTGGAAATTTCAAAGTAATATTAAAAAAATTAGAAAATGTTGAAAGTGCAAAACAAAGTTGGTTTGAAGAGGTTTGTATTATTGTATTCTATATTTCATAAAGTTATTGTAATTTTTTGTATTAGCACTAGTATTTTTACAAATTATTGTCTTTTAGGCTAAATCACATTTAACTATAAGTAATAAATGGGCAGATGTTGTTCAATGTTTTGGTTTAACACAAGATCCATCAAATGGAAATTATATTCTTGTAATGGAGAAAATGGATATAGATTTAAGAAAATATTTACAACAAAATCATAATCAACTTACATGGAAAAAGAGAATATATATTACTTATGAAATAATTCTTGCACTTAGATATATTCATGATGAGAAAGCCATTCATAGAGATTTGCATTCTGGAAATATATTATATTCACAATTTAATGATCATTGGTATATCAGTGATCTTGGATTTTGTGGACCTGTTGATAAATCTTCAACAAGTATATATGGAAACCTTCCTTACATAGCACCTGAAGTTATTGTTGGAAGAGAATATACTTTTGCACCTGATATTTATAGTATTGCAATTCTTATGTGGGAAATTTCAACTGGACAATTACCATTTATAAATTATGAACATGAAAATGATATTGTAATGAATGTTATTAATGGTATAAGACCAAAAATTGTGCCAGGAACTCCATTAGAATATAATAATTTAATGAAGGAATGTTGGGATGCTGATCCATTAAAAAGACCTGACGCTAATGCACTTGAGATAAGAATGTTAAGAATTAATTTAAATTATCAAAATATGTCAGATGAATTATTCAAATCAGAAATAGATAATTCAGGAATGAATAAAGTAGAAGAAAATTATACGAGTAGCAGATTATTTACAAGTAAAATTCACAACTTTGGAAATCTACCTGAACCAAGTAATGCAACTGAAGGTATAAGTATATAATATTTATTAATGAATGTATTTATTTTAAAAATATATTATTAATATTATCTTTTTTTGAATTTATATTATAATAGAAGAACAAGAAGGTATAACCGTATAAATAATAATTTCTACAATTTTTTATAATAATCCAGTTTTTAAAATACTTAATACTTTAATTTTACTACTAATAGTGTTTCATAGTAAATTGTATGATTTTAACATTCCTAACAATAGTAAGTACTGTATTTAATGTTTATATAGCGTTGAAGTATTATATAATAATATTTAACAATTAATATTTGTTTTAGTTAACGATTTTAATGGAAAAAATAAGCAGTATAGTAAGAAATTATTAATAAATATTTTAAAGGTGATTTGTTTAAAATAATAGATTAAATATTAAAATCTATTCCTATGTTCTTAATTTTAGGTGATAGTGAAAAATTACCCAAAGAATTTACAAATTTACGAATAAATTCAAATAGTAAGTAAATAAGTTGAAATAAAAAAATATTCATTGTATCAGTTTCCATTTATTAATAACGTGACTTTTATTTTAAAAAAAATATGACGAAAAGAAATAATTCAACAACAAATGAAAAGGAAAGATATTGATATTGATGGTAAGCAAAAAAAGTAAAAATTATTTTGTCAATATATTTGTTTAATATAGCTTTAATTTAAAAATTTAGATGATGAAAAAGAAATAATTCAACAAAGAACGAAAAGACAAAATATTGGTGATATTGATGGTATGCGAATTTTCAATTTAATTTTATATTATTTTTTAATTTAATTATTTATTTCTTATAGATGATGACGAAGTATATAATAATCCAAATCTTCATTCAGAAGAACAGGATGAAATGGAAATTCCTGATGGTAGGTTCTTAAATAAAGTAAATTTCTTTTTAAAGCAAATAATTAATTTATAATTTGTTATTTTTTAACTTTAGGTGGATTTTGAATAATAATTTAACAATGTTTTTTATATATATTTTAAATTATCATCATTTATTTATTTATTTATTTTTTATCTTGGATTATTTAAACACTAAGACTAGAGTAGTAAAAATTCTTAGTTTGTAATTTGAATAATTTTAATGAATTTATTCAAATTATTAAAATTATTAAATGACCTCATGAAAGTATAACAAGATATTGTGACACGTTCTATATTAAAAAATTTGTTTTCAATTTTTTACAATTGTTAATTCTATAAAATTTATTATTATGTATTTGCATGATCAAAATATAATAAAATACATAATTCTCATAATAATTAATAAAAAATTTTTATTGTAAATTACTCGATGCATCAAAATTCTTTTTCTATAACATAAAAGTAGGAATTTCAATTTGCTCAAACAGCCAACAGCCTTAGGGTTTAAGTTGTGAACTTAAACGTACTAGATTACTAGTTACTCATCAAAATAAATTTTTAAAGATTTAAGAAAAATTATATGAATATTTTGATACCTAAATTTTCACTTAATGTTGCATTATCATTATATTCTTTTTCTCCATATATTACTAATTTATACTTAATTCTTTTTGATTTAAAATTCATTTAATTTGCAAGAATAATCGAATAATCAATTTTTCTACATATATAACAAGATAATGTTATGATTTTTAGTAATAGGCTCATTATCTAAAAAATTTAAATTAATAAAATTAGATAGAAATAATAAAATAATTTAGTATGAATTAATAAATTATTAACTTACCAGGAAAGATATTCTTCCAATATTCCACTTTTGATAATAATCAAACCAACATACAAGAATTCATCAGTTGGTGGTCTTTTATTAGTATCGGAATCTCAACATCTTTTCATTGATCTTATATACTGGCGATGTGCTTTCAACAATTTTCGGCCTTAATACTTCACAAATATTTAAGAAAAGAAATAAAAAAATAAAAATAAAGGGGGGAAAATGCACCTACTGTAGCCCCTGATCAGTGATCACCCTATCCTGATCCGAACCTAAAAATCATGATATTTATATACAAAAAAAAACTAATAACATAGATTTATATAGAGATTAACATTTAAAGAAAATAAATTGAATAAATCGGTAAATAAAAAAAAAAGCAAGGGGCGTCAAATCAGCGGCATCACGCATTCCGAATTCCCGCAGACTGCAAAATGTGCAACGAGATAAGAATTACATAAATTTACATAACGCCTCCCGGCATAATCTAAAAAAGGAGAGATATACATGTTATTTCGTTCACAAACTCTGTGATTGATGTACTACTCAATAATTCCATTGTATGACAATACTTCCGTACATAAAAAGCAATGAAATTATTCATAAAATAAACTTTTTTTATTCTTCGATAATACTAGAATGGAATTTGTCAACAAATATTATCAAACAGATAACGATCTTCAAATTTCAAATAAACAGCAGCAACTAAATGTTGATAAAAAACCATAATAAAGAATTTATCATGTGCGGAATTATTTCAAACCATTCAACATTTTAATAAAATAAATGTGAAAGAAGTGGAACCTTCAATTCAAGATAATAATGAAAACATATTTGTGGAAGATTTAACATTTATAGTTGATGAATTAATTAATCTTGTTATTAAGGAGATAAATGAGGAGAAAGAATATGAAATAATAAAGCAACATGTTTATGATTATATAAATAATCATGAGACAAATTCACAAGAAATCTACAACTGGCTTTTAAATAATCAAAATGGTTCAAATAATTCTATCTATTTACTTGGATATTTAATTATCATTGTATTGAAACCAATATTAATAAGCAAAAAGTGTTCGAATTATTTGAAAAAGCAATAGAATTAGAAAATGCTGCAGCTCAATTGATATTTGCATTTATGAAAAAGATAATGAAAAATATGAAAAATATCATATTAAAGCTTTTGAATTATTAAAAAAATTAGCAGAAGGAATGAATCCAAGTACATTAAATACTTTAGGATATTGTTATGAGAATGGAATTGGAACAAATACTAATGATTTTGAAGCATTTGAATCATATCAAAAAGCAGCGAATTTAAGGCATTTAGATGGATTATGTAACTTAGGGCGTTGTTATGAAAATGGAATTGGAACAGATATTAATAATTTAAAGACATTTGAATCATACCAAAAAGCAGCAGATTTAGAAAATTTATATGGAATAAATAATTTAGAATGGTGCTATGAAAATTGAATCGGAACCGATATTGATGGACAGAAAGCATTTGAAACATATCAAAAAGCGGTACAATTAGGTTCACAAGGAATAAATAACTTAGGTTGGTGTTATGAGAATGGAATTAGAACCGATGTTGATTTGCAACAAGCGTTTGAATTATATGAAAAGGCATCAAATTTGGGAAGTTGTTATGCTAAATATAATCTTGCTGTAATGTATGAGTACGAAAATGGTGTTAAAAAAGATTTGCATCAAGCAATTTATTGGTATGAAAAGTCTGAACAAGGATATTTATGTGCCCAAGATAAATTAGAAGAACTTTTAGAAGAATGAATATATTATCGCTATACATGTATATTGATTGTTTCATTGTTTTATCATAAAATTTATTTTTCTATATCAAATATCTGTTTACCGTCACAGATTTCATAAATATTAACATATTTAGCATATTACAGCATTATTAACACCAAATGATAATTAGAAGTAGTTTCGTTAGTAATTAAAAAAATTTTAATAAATAATTTTCAGTTTAGATTAATTTTGACGGGAGTAAGAATCCCAATTTCTAATTTGTCTTTTTACATCATTCTTACTTTTTTTCCACAAATACTCGTTTCTTAATATTAATTCATTAATTGATTTTAGTAAAGCCAATAGTTCTTATTTCAGGCGTTATAATATTTCACAATAATAAGATAATTGGTATATAGAACGAACGTATATTCAGCATAGCGAATTTCTTTTATTAAATCTATACTTCATTTTAATGAACATTCTTAAACATGGTGTCATCTTTTTATTAATAATTTTTTAGATACATTCATCCATAATTCACTAAAGATGTTAGTTAATAAATAATACGGGTAACAAAAAAGCCATATTGTGCGGACTAGAATTTTGCTTCTAACAAATTAATTACTCTATGAAAATTAAATAATATTAAAATAATAAAGTTCAGTGAGCCTGTTATTTAAACTAATAACATTTTAAAAGGCAAAATTTTGTTTCTTATTATATAATGTTTACAATTTATTAACTATCACAAACCAATCATTATGTAACGGATAATCCAATGTTCTTGAGGTAAATAATCAACAGAGTATTTATCGTATTTATCGTATTTATCGATAGATCATTCCTTAAAAAACTCTAATTTATTTAATTTATTTTGAGCATCTTTATCTCCTTGATTGGCAGATTTTTCATACCAATAAATTGCCTGATTTATATTAATATCAACCCCATTTCCATACTCATACATTAATGCAAGATTATATTGAGCTAAACAATCACCTGAAATTGCTGCTATTTTATACAATTCAAATGCTTTTTGATAATTAACATCGGTTCCAATTCCAATATTATAGAAATATCCTAGCAAACTCATTCCACTTGGATGATTTTCTTCCGCTAATTTTTTAGATATTTCAAAAGCCATATCATGATTTTCTTCAACACCTTCTCCATTCTTATACATTAAAGCAAGATTACATTGAGCTTTAATATTCCCTAATATTGCAGCTTTTTGATATAGTTCAAATGCTTTTTCCTTATTTATATTAGTTCCATACCCATTATCAAAACAATATCCTAATTTATTCATTCCAGATATAATTTCTTTTTTTGCTAATTTTTCAGACATTTCAAAACCTTTATCATAATTTTTTTCAATCCCTTCTCCATCCATGTACATATTAACAAGATCACATTGTGCCACATTATGTTCTAAATCCGCTGCTTTTTTAATTAATTCAAAAGCTTTTTTCTTATCAATTTTAGTCTCGATTCCATGATAGTAAAAATAACCGAGTAAATAAATAGAATTTAAACTATTTTGATTATTTAATAACCAATTATAAATTTCTTGTGGGTTTATTCTACAATGATTAATAAAATCAAAAACATTTTTTTTTCTTGTATATTCTTCATATCCTTCATTTGATTCCTTAAAAATTAAATTAACCAATTCATCAATCATAATGCCTAAATCTTCTTCAAATATATTTTTATTAATATTTTGAATTGTAGGTTCTATTTCTTTCATATTTATTTTATTAAAAATTTGGATAAATTTAATTTTGTAATATTTATTTTTAGTATTATTTGTATGTAAAAATAATTTCACTACGGAAAAAGCAGGAGAATAAAATTTATGTTAATTTTATTCGTTTAAATTCCTTTTTATTTGTTTCACAGTTACGACAATTACGCAGATCAACTTCTGTACCACGTTCAAATGATTGGATGACAAAATGCCGTCATCACTTCGAATATTCTCGTTTGAACCGCAGCAATAGCCTAACATATTTAAATGTAAATAACGTTAAACTGTAAATAATTCATTTTGGTTTCTCGCAGCTGTTAACTTTCGAATTTCAAAATTGTACGATGCAAATTTAAATAAATTATTCGGCGTATAATATCGTATTGCGTTAATTAATTTGTCACAACATATAAATAACCTTTACAATTTTAAATAAATATCTACTATTTAAATCTTGGATCAAATAAAATTCAGCCTCACAGTCTCATTCCATGTAACAAATAATTTTTATTAATAAATTTAAACTTGACAAATCATAAAATAAAACTAAAAAATAGTAATAATACTTACTTATATGTCAGATATATATTTCCAAACGAAATTACCAAAAAATTGAAATTATTTAATCCTTTAAAAATTCCTTTAATTTATTTTGAGCATCCTGGCATCCGTGATCAGCGGATTTTTTATACCAATAAATTGCTTGATCCACATTCTTTTTCGTTCCATCTCCACTTTCATACATTAAAGCGAGATTATATTGTGCCAACTCATTCCCTAAACTTGAAGCTTCTTTAAATAATCCAAATGCCTTTTGTTTATTAACAACAGTTTCAATTCCGCCATCATGAAAACATCCTAGATTATTTAACCCGTATGAATTTCCTAAATTTGCTGCTATTTGGTATAGTTCAAATGCCTTTTTCTTATTAGAATTAGTTCCAATTCCACTATCATAACACCACCCTAAGTTATTTATTCCTTGTGAATTTCCTAAATCTGCTGCTTTTTGATATGATTCAAATGCTTTTTGTTCATTAGCATCAGTTCCAATCCCTTTTTCATAACAATATCCTAAAAGGTTTATTCCACTTGAATATTCTTTTTTTGCTAATGCTTTAGATAATTCAAAGGCCTTTTCATAGTTTTTATCAATACCTTCTCCATCTATATACATGTTAGCAAGTTCATATTTTGCTATATTACTCTCTAATTCTATCATTTTATATAATTCAAATGCCTTTTGTCTATTAAGATTGGTTTCTATCTCATAATAATTAAAATATCCAAGTAAATAAATGGAGCTTGAACTATTTTGATTATTTAAAAGCCAACTATAAATTTCTTGTGAGTTTGTCTTATAATTATTAATATAATTAAGAACATTTCGTCTTTTTGCTTTTTCTCCTTTTCCTTCATTTACTTCCTTAAAAATAAAATTTACTAATTCATCAATTATAATATTTAAATCTTCTTCAAATATATTTTCTTTAATATTATTAGTTGTGGGTTCTATTTCTTTTATATTCATTTTATCAAAATAATGAATAATTTGTGATAATTCTTCTTCATATAATAATAAATTATTATTATTTAAATTATCTAAATTTTTCTTTAGTTCTTGTTTATTTGATAATTGATTATAATTTTCATTTGTTTTATAATTTTCTTTTTTATCTTGCATTTCGAAGATTTATTACGTCGATAAAAATAATAAATTTTAGGGGAAAGTAATTAAATTATGTATGTAATTTGTTTATCCATATTTATTTGAGTGTATGACAGGTAGCACCGCAGTAGCACAATTATTGCAATTTTTTGCAAATCATTTTTACACGAGCTTGTTTATAAACAGGTTACGCAAAGTTGTAAATCTCCGGTCGAATTAACCCAGCCCGAATATATAATGTAATTTAATTTTAATGTAACAGGTGATTATTAAATATTAACTATTTATCGTAACAAGGTAAGCCTGGAACGAAAAAATAATATTACACCCAGAAATGTATATGCATGTACTTAATAAATATCAAACCTATAAATTTTCTGTAAATAATTCCGTTCTTTTCGAAAAAATTCAGGCGGGATTAATTTTATCAAGATATTTTAAGATGTGGCGCGGCATTATAACCGGAAATTTCACGTGACAATAATCTAACTCCTAAAGTACTATAGTCTCGTTTTCCAATCATACAAAAAAAAAGCAAACATAAAGTTTATGTAATTTGAAATTTTATACGAAGTTATCAAAAAAAAAAACCAAAAATTCAATAATAAGATCTCTGTGACTTTGAAATTATATCTTTTTATTTTCTAAATTCTGGAAAATTTTCCCACAAACCGTTCAAGTAGTCCTCTGACTCCTCTCACACAAAACTCTTTTACTAAACTCTGAATAATACGCTATTTATTAACTTGAATATATTAAATAAACTGCGGTGACTCGAAACGTAGCAGGTAACAAAAATAAACATGATTTAAAACCAAATAGTTGTTAGAAGAATCATAACAAATCAAAAGGATATTTGTAGTTAAAAATATTCAAATTATCGGAAAAAATGAATATTGACATTATAACAAAAAATGGGACAAGATTTAATGATAATACACGTATTAAAAATATTTTAATATATTAAAAATTGGAATCATAGTCGCAAATTCTTTGTTGTAAATTGATATACAATTTTTATCGTAAGCGTTACCTGAAAATCATTCCGGCTACCATTTTTTCTGGGAGACGCTAGAGTTGTTGAGTATCTCTCCATTCTATCGTTGCTAGCCAAGAATTTGTTGCCATCTGATCACCAACGTCGAGGCGCACCAGGGGGAGGGGAAAGGAGAGGACGAAAGAGGAAGGGAAAGGATAAGGGAAAGGGAAAGGAAAGAGCGAGGGAAAGGATGGGGGACGAGAGAGAGGGAAAGGAAGAGGAAAAGAGCGATGGAAAACAAACATACACATACCACCACCACACACATACCCAAAGGAAGAGGAAAGGGATCGAAGAGAAATCCTAATAGAGAGAGAAAAAAAGAAAAAAAAAGACCTAAAGAAAAAAGAGAAGAGAAGACACGAGACCAAAAAGAAAAAAGAGGTATTTATATTTTTTTTCGTAAATTTACACAAAAGATGACCCATGATTATATAATAATGACCCGCCGAAGCTCCGAACTCACCCGATTACCTTTTTTTTTTGTGGTAAAGACGAACGGAAAATACAGAAAAAGTATCAAAATGACGTTAGATCATGGATGATCATGATCAATAAAAAATAGAATTCCGACCTAGTACAACCATTTCAAATTGTTTAAAAACCCCATTTTTTTATATGTTTAAATATCTAATTCAAGATATCAGGTTCCTAACACAGAATTTAAAGAAATGGTTGTAAATAAATTTAATACGATCAGAATTCCAGGAAAAATTGCGCTTACAGTTGACATGTGGACGAGTAATTTGGCTCACAGTTTATTATATTGATCAAAAATAGAAGTTGCAGAATTTCTTACTAGATACTATCATATCCTTTACTAAACATCACACTGGAATTAATATTGCAACATTGTTTTAAATAATTTTAAAACTTTGGCCCTTACAAGTTACAACTGATAATGAATCGGCTATGATCGTGTGTGTGGAAGAACGATTTGACAACAATTACATTAATTACTCAACTTGACTCTCAAATTTTTAAACACTACCGTTGTACTGTCCATATTCTTAATCTTGCTGCACAACAAGGACTTGAAATTATAGACCAGAATTGGATTGTAAGACGAGATGGAATTCAATTTTCTAGACCATTTTTTAATTGTAATTGATAAAATTTTTAATATGATGTTAAAAGATTAACATTGGTGATAATGAATTTTATTGATAAATGCTAACAAATGAGAATAAAAATATAAATAAACTTTATTATAAAAATTGGCATACTTGTATTAATAATTTTATTGTAAGAATTGTAAAAGTACATAATAAATATATTTATTGTTTAATATATAATTGGTAAAATAATCCAACAAATAAAATAAATAGTAGAATGATTAATCTACAATTATACAATCAAGACCCTGAGTCTCTTCTTGAATTAAAATTTCAGTAAGTTTGTGACTTGTATAATATGCTTGTGAATGAGATTGTACAATAGGAACGATTGCCTGTTCTTGCATTAAAGCTTTGTCTACTTCTACAAATTCAAGTATATCGCTTTTTAATTGATCATCAATATTAGGTACTTTATATAAATATTTCCCATTCCTGTTTATTTTATAAAATTTATCAATGTATCTAATCCATTCAGATATAATATTTTCAAGCATTATTATGGTTGGTCTATTGGAAAGATTTAAATTCCAACATTTTTCATTAAAACTACATAATATTTTGGTGTATTTTTTATAATATCAGGACGTTTTCTTTTACAAATATTCAATCTAAGGTGATGATCATGTGCTTTCTTGTTTAAATGAAGCAATTCCCACATTATCATTGAATATAAATATCACTTGCTAGAATATAGGGTTTTTTTCTCAATATTTCAGGCGCCATATAAGGTAAAACTCCGAAATTTTATCAACTTTATTACTAGAGTCCTGTAAATCACTTATGGGTTTACATAATCAATAATAAATAACTCATTGTATACCATCATGAAAATAACCATAAGTTAAATTTGATTCATGAATTACTTTAAGTCCCAATACAATTTTTTTCAATAATTGTAACTTGACTTGTTTTTTAAATTTAATTATAGCTTAAATTCAAAATAGTATAAATGTTCAAGATTGAAATTAATTAATATTATCGTCATATTCTAATTGTATAATAATACTCAGTTAATATAATTACTTATTAGTATGAAATAATTAGCCCAACCATTTTGGACTTTAATTACTCATGTCAGTCATATGAATAAAAAGTTACTCACGAGAAAAAATTACATAATCTTGGTGTGGTTTCGTCATGAATGATTTCTTTATCTTCTTTTTTTTCGTCTTTTTTTTTTATCATCATCTTTTTTTTTAAGTCTATCTTCTCTCTGTCTAGGTTTTCTCTTTATTAGGACTTTTCTTGGGTCCCTTTTCTTTACGTCTGATAAAGTCTTGTCTTATTTTTAAAGTCAAATTTGCATTTTATTATTGATATTAATATTTTCTTCATTATTCTTGCAATTTTAAATCAATCGTTAATTTTCATTAAATTCATTACTGATTAAAAATAAAATTACACAACTTTTGTTATTTAATATTACGTATAATTTTCCAGAATCAATAATATAACCATAATGAACACTTATTTTCTCTTATTAAACAATAATTTACATACTATTATTGTTATGAAAATAATGCTATAAATAATTTATATAATCATTACAATTAAAAAATTTTCCCGTTTATATTTCCTGTACTATGAAATGAATTCTACTGGGAAATACCCCTTACATTATATATTAATTATAGCTGCGGAAATAAGAATTTGACTGGACTAAATAGGTTATTATATTTTTTTTATTCTTTTTTTCAATAGACAAACCAATGGAAATTACAATCTGAAATAAATTATTACACATTTGTTTAACATAATTAAGATATCAATTAAAAATATTTAGCAAAAAAATATAAGTTAAATTTTTATTGTAAAACTAGCTGATTATCAGCAATATTAAGAATATGACGTATGCTATAAAATCGATAGAATTGCTTAAACTATAAATAGTGTAATCATCACACCAAACTATACATATCCAGCTATAAAATTAATTATTAAAAAATATAATAAAGTATTTATTCATACTCTTAAAATTAATTTTGTATAAATAATTTATTTATTTTTGAAGAACTTTAATTTATTTTGAGCATCCGGATCTCCTTGCTCCGCTGATTTTTCATACCAATAAATTGCTTCATTCATATCATTTTCAGTTCCATCACCGTTTTCATACATTAAAGCAAGGTTATATTGAGCAAAATCATTTCCTAATTTTGCTGCCTTTTTATACAATTCAAATGCCTTTTGCATATTAACTTCAGTTCCAATTCCATTATTATAACAACATCCTAAATTATTTATTCCACTAGAACTTCCTAAATCTGCTCCCTTTTGATACAACTCAATTGCTTTTTGTTCATTAATATCTGTTCCGATCCCTTTTTCATAACAATATCCTAACAGAACTATTGCACAGGGACATTCTTTTTTTGCTAATTTGTTAATGATTTTAAAAGCTTTGTCATAATCTAAACCAGTACCCTCTCCATCAATATACATATTAGCCAGTTCAAATTGAGCTACATCATTTTCTAGTTCTGCTGCTTTTTGATATAATTCAAATGCTTTTTGCATATCAATGTTAATTTCAATTCCATTATAATTAAAATATCCGAGTAAATAAACTGAATTAGAATTATTTTGATTATTAATAAGCCAGTTGTAAATTTCTTGTGAATTTGTCTTATAATTATTAATACAATTAAAAACTTGCTTCTTCCTTACTACTCTTTCTTTTCCTTCATTTATCTTCTTAAAATTAAGATTAACTAATTCATCAATTACAACACTTAAATCCTCTTCATATATATTTCCATTAATATTTTGAGTTGTGGGTTCTACTTCTTTTATATTCATTTTGTTAAAATAGTGAATTACTTGAGGTAATCCTTCATGTAATAAATTATTATCTATGTTGTCTGAAGCAAGTTTCCATTTATTTAATAATTGGGGATGATTATCATCTATTTTATAATATTCGCTATTAACTTGCATTTCAGTTTCATGAAATAAACTACATGAAACAAAAAAAAACCCCCCTCTCGATCACAACATATTTATTTAAATGTACGAAAGTAGCACAAGTTACCGACATACTGTAGATCAATTTCATTGAGCGCGTCACAGTCGTCACACTCGTCACAGTAAATGTGAATGGTTACACAAAGTTATTGAAGATAGTAACTGTTAGGCGATAAATGGGCTATACTAACCAGGTTCCCATTGGATCCGACGTGGAATTATAATGACGGCAGAAGACATGGGTCCGGATGATTACAAATGATTACAAATCAAAAAATTCTAGATGTTGATCAATTGGGCCCGGTTCACTAGCCAGAATCGATGGAAGTAGGAGCGAAACCGATAAATGGTCATAATTATATATCGTAAATAGATTTGTTTAATAAATTATAAAAAAAAAAAATTTCCCAATTGCTTTGTTAAGTTGACTTGTTGACCCTTTACCTTCTTACGATCACAATATCATTCCATATATGGCTTTACGTGGTTTTTGCAAGTGTTTTCACGAATACATGGTATTGACCCCTGTTTTAAATTGTAATAATATCATGTAATAATCATAATTGCTGGATAGGATATAAAAGTAAGAATTATTAAATTACAAACTAAGAAATTTGTAAAGTATTATATTACTCTAGTCTTAGGTAAATAATTTATAACTTAACAATTAAAATGTATTATTTAGTTAGATTAATTTATATGCGAATATTATATAAATATGTTAGTAATAGAATTTTAAATAACTTACTCCCTATATTATTAAATAAATTTTAAATAAATAATGTGGTTAATTTAAATTGCATATTTATTTAAAAAGATAAATAAAAAGTCTATCAACATTGGACAAAAAGTTTATTTCACAGCCACTGACTGTGGAATATCATGATTTTCACGGCTGCGTGAAATAATTATTACAGTGCATTATCACAGTCGGATAATTAAAAGTGGCGAAGAATAAATTGCATTCTTCGTATTGAACTTAATTTACAGTATTAAAAAAAAACACTTTTAGGATGATAAAACTTTAAGATAAAGTGTATATGGTATTTGAAATAAGTACTATTATCTGCAACACTGCCTATGGGTATTCTATAAATACCTTATATAAAAATTTGGTAGTATCTTATTGGATATTGGTAGTGGTATAATGTAAGCTTAGGAAATAATTTCCCAGGATTAATAGGAGAGTTATGATACAATAATTTAAATTTACTATATTTTATTATACCCGGGTTTTACAACATGGGTATTACTAATTTAAGGGGGAAGTATTATACGGATATATGTGTAATAATAACTAAAAATCAGAATCAAACCAATAATTAATTTCTTTAAGAGTTTTTAATTTTTTTTGAGCATCTGGATCTCCTTGTGCAGCTGATTTTTCATACCAATAAATTGCTTTTTCCACATTTTTTTCTATTCCATCTCCATTTTCGTACATCAAAGCAAGGTTATATTGAGCAAAATCATTCCCTAATTTTGCTGCCTTTTGATATAATTTAAAGGCCATTTCTTTATCAGCATCAACTATAATTCCATTCTTATAACAACACCCTAAATTATTCATTCCACTTGCATTTCCTAAATCTGCAGCCTTTTGATATAATTCAAATGCCATTTGTTTATCATCTACTACAATTCCATTTTCATAACAACACCCTAAATTATTTATTCCATTAGAATTTCCTAAATCTGCTGCTCTCTGATATAATTCAAAGGCTTTTAATTCATCAATATTAGTTCCAATTCCACCATCATAACAATATCCTAACATATTTACTCCAGCTGAATAATCTTTTTTTGTCAATTTTTTTGCTAATTCAAATGCTATGTTATAATTTTTTTCAGCATCTTTTCCATATATATAAATATAGGCAAGATCAAATTGAGCTACACTATTTTCTAACTCTACTGCTTTTTGATATAATTTAATAGCCCTTCGTTTATTAACAATAGTTTCAATTCCATGATAACTGAAATATCCAAGTAAATAAATAGAATTTGAATTATTTTGATTATTTAAAAGCCAGTTATAAATTTCTCGTGAATTCGTCTTAGAGTTATTAATATAATCAAAAAGCTGTTTCTTTCTTACTATTAATTCTTTTCCTTCATTTACTCCATCAAAAATAAGCTGAACCAATTCATCAACCAAATTACTTAAATCTTCTTCAAATATATTTTCATTGATATCTTGTATTGAAGGTTCTATTTCTAATATATCAATTTTATTAAAATTTTGAATGATTTGAATGATTTGAGGTGTTTCTTCATGTAATGGGTTTGATATAATATTTTTCAATTTGAAAATTACTTGACTCATCGTAGGTCTATTATCTGGATCACTGTCCCAGCATTCTAAGAATGTAATAAGATTTAAAAATTAAAATGATATATGATTAAAATGGACGGAATCAAAAATTTTATATTTACCAGTATATATATTAAAATAATCAGTAGGTGTATCCGGAACAACTGTTTCTCTATAACCTAATAAAATTTGCGTAATTAAATTATTATCATATAATTTATCATTAAATGGCGGTCGTCCACTTGATATCTCCCATAAAAGTACTCCAATGCTGTAAACATCACTCTTTTCATTTAATGAGTATGATTGTATTAAAAACTTATTTGGATCAATATAAGGAACCATACAAATTAAGTCAGATTCTCGTTTAGATGCCTTTTCGATCCTTTTCGATAACCCCAAATCAGCTAATTTGATGGTATTTTGGTGAATCAATATATTACCGGAATGCTATTTATAATTTATATAAAATATCATATATAAATAAATCTTAAAATTATTTGAAATCATGAAAAATTGAATTAATTAAATTAATAAATTTACCAAATCCTGATGTACGATTCCCTTATCGTGTAAACATGATACAACAAATGTTAATTGAAATGATAATTTATATTTATCTTCCCAAATAAGTTTCTTATAGTTTTTTTTCAAATAATTTTGGAGTGAATCATCATCAGCATACTCCATTACCAATAAATATTTCAATTGTCCATTTTTGCTTTCTAATTTAAAATTACAAAATATTGATTAAAAACTTATTATAAAAGTAATTTAAAATATTTAGAAAAGATTTTAAACATTCTATAGTACAGTACATACCTTTATTTGTAATTCCATACAAACGAATAATATTATTATGAAAGCCAATTTCATTTTGAAGTTCAAACTAAATTTTAAATAATAATATAAATGTTCAATTAAACCAGTTATTTAAATTAATAAAAAGAAAAAATCATATTTTATCATTACCTCACGTATAATTTCCTTTACGATGGCATTGTCAAAATTATAGAAAGATTTTAATATCATATATTGTTCCGAATTTTTCCATTTTGCACGATAAACTTTCCCAAAATTGCCATTACCAATTTTTTCAATATTGTGAAATTGAATATATTCGTAATATTTTATATGCTTTTTAGAAATAACTTCTTTAATCCATTCTTTTGAATTATTGGCAACTTGAATTTCATTATCATCGAACATTGTGATGTATTAAATTGAACGATTAATTAATAATCTTAGAATTTATACAAAAAATAATTGAAAGAAATGAATATGAAAGGGATTTAAAGCAAAACCGTTTATTGGTATTATAAGTAGCAAGAAAATAAATGTAAAAATAGCACAACATGTTTATTTACGTACGGTAGGTAGTACTACTACGGTTACCGCAGATCAATTTCTGCAGCTGAATGTAAATCATTTTTTCATTTGCTACTATTGGCAGATTAATAAATAAAAACATATATGTAAAGCAATAATTGAATAGTTAAATTAAGATTAAGAAATTTAATTACGTAATTCAAATTGAATTCATCTATATGATTGATTTAATAGTAGTGTAATTATCAAAATTTGTGTTGAAATTGCATTCTATGTCAAGTTTTTTACATAATTAATACATTCAGTATGGAGTATTCGTATATTTTAGTATAAATTATTATTTCTCCTGAAAATATATTATAGAAAGGAAGTAATAAGAACCGTGCATAATCTTCGCAAAAAATTTCTTTCATACTTTTAGAATCGGAAAGAACGGTTGAAAATAAATTGAAAGTTATTAAATCCTATGCAAAATTTCATCAATTTTAAATACAATATAATTTTTTTAGTAAAATTATAAAGAGTAAGTAGTTTCTAATTATTAACTAGAAAACGGAAACCGTTGTAAGTCCGGAGCGAAAAAAAAAGATAAAACTCAGATTTGCGATTTCATTGGATGACTTCACGTGAGGGACAGGAAACTCACGTGATTGATCATTTTTCATATTGCGTAGACATAGTCCTTCGCTTCTCTCCGGACAATTATTAATTATAGTCTGAACTTAATATAATGAGCCCTCATGTTAGGCAATTTTGGATCGTTGTGTCGGAATGCTCGACAAATCAAATGTTTTATAATATATAATAGGAAGTATTAATTCGGTATAACAAAATTTGTTTAAAGACACACGATTTAAAGCCAGTTTAAAATATATAATGAATTGTATTTTAGTTAATACATTTTTATAGATTTTGGTTATCAGATGATGCGCTGCTCCGCATAATGCTGGCCGAAATGAGCTAATTCCGGCCAGAATTAAGTGTATCAGCTTATCGCGAAAAATGCATACGTATTTGCGCATGGGACCTTCACCAGAAAGTAAAAGAACAATATCCCGTGTAGGAGCTGAATAACATAAGCGCCTAGTTAAGTATCCCTATTTAGTTGTGTATCCTGAATGGAGCAAGAAACCTCTTGTTTTCGGAGCTTACTGTTCAAGGTGAAGCGGTCGCGTTTCGTGATTTTACTTTTGTAGATAATACAATTAGCTTATTTTTTATTTTATGTAACTAATGATTCGTTGATTTATAAAAACAAAAAGTAAAATAAATTAGTTTATAATGGTAAATTAATTATAGACGGTTTTTTTCGATAAAAAAGGAGAGCAAATCTTGTGTCAAGTTCTCGACCGTACCTAATGTTTTTTTAAGTAATATTCATTTTTAATTATTCAGCAGATATAATCGTTTCGCAAATCATTTTTATTTTCGTATAGATCAAAATTTTATTTATTAAGCCATTATGATCAAGAAAATTGAATCGATGATTTTTTTCTAGAATTTAAAGAAGACTATAAACAAAAAAAAAAAACCGTCCAAACCAGATCGAAACATTAAAGAAGGGAAAGAAACCTTTTTTTTTTTAAAGAAAAAGAACATAATAAACCGCTTTTTTTAGAGAAAAAGAAACATAATAACAAAAAAAAAACTCAATACATACTACTGCATCAAAAATTGAGAAAAGGAACTCTTAAATGAAGTTAAGCAACTTAACAATATTTTCGGCATTCTTTTCTTTATGTTAAGCATTTTCTGATCAATATATACTATGTTAAAATAGCCTTTATAAACGAACAATTTATCGCATTTGACTTATTTTTTTGTTTAAAGATTTTATATCTCAAGTTCGAAAAGAATTTTATTCACGTTATTTATTATTAGTGAATTATTTGAATCTGAAGAATGCATTCTAATTAGGCATCCAATATCTTAATTACGGCTCAAATATGTTGGTTACAGTTTATATTAATTGGTTAACTTTTTAATTGGTCCCATTTCTAGTAAATCTTTTATTCGAAATATTTGAAATATTGACTGCATATCATATTTTTAAACATGTATGGAAATTTTTAATCATTTTCTTCCAGTACTTCTATATAATATTCAATAGCAAATTCCTAATCTCTGGCCAATCTCCAATGTGGATAAAGTCATATATATGATTATTAAAGATACTACATCGAATACAAATTTGTAATGCAAGACTAATAGTATTTTCTATATAAATATATATAAGATAAATGTATAATAAAAAAAATACAAAATCATCTAAAATAACTTGCACAATAAAGGTATACTGTAAATATGTAAAGTAAAATTTTACAATCTAATATATTTTAGTAAATATATAACTAGTTCGTTTTGAGAGTCTCTAATTTATTTTGAGCATCTAGATCTCCTTGTTCAGCCGATTTTTCATACCAATAAATTGCTTGACCCACATTCTTTTCTATTCCATTACCACATTCATACATCAAAGCAAGATTATATAGAGCAAAATGATTTCCCATATTTATCGCCTTTTGATACAATTTAAAAGCCGTTTGTTTATCAACATCAACTCCAATTCCATCTTCATAACAAATTCCTAAACTATTTATCCCATTAGCACTTCCTAAATCCGCTGCCCTTTGATATGATTCAAATGCCTTTTTCTTGTTAACACTAGTTCCAATTCCTTTTTCATAACAATATGCTATATTATTTATTCCACGTATATTACCTAAATCTGCTGCTTTTTGAAACAATTCAAATGCAATTTGTTTATTAACATCAGTTCCAACTCCTTTTTCATAACAATATCCTAGCAGATTCATTCCACATGAACATTCTTTTTTTGCCAACTTTTTAGTTAATTCAAAAGCTTTTTCATAATCACTTTCAGAACCTTCTCCATCAATACACATATTAGCCAGTTCAAACTGAGCTGCTCCATTCTCTAATTCTGCTGCTTTTTGATATAATTCATATGCTTTTGACATGTCAGTGTTAATATCAATTCCATGATAATTAAAATATCCAAGCAAAAAAATAGAATTTGAATTATGTTGATTATTATTAATAAGCCAGTTGTAAATCTCTTGTGGGTTTGTCTTATGTTTATTAACATAATCAAAAACAATTTGTTTTCGTACATTTTCATCCCTTCCTTTATTTAGTTCTTTAAGAATAAGATTAACTACTTCATCAACCATAATACTTAAATCCTCTTCAAATATTCTTTCATTAATATTTTGAGTTGTTGGTTCTATTTCTTTTATATTCATTTTATTAAAATAATATAATTCTCTTTCAGTCTTATCGAACATTATGAAAAAAAATTTTGCTGCAGAAAATATAAATAAACCTGTTTCTTCATGATCCACAACATATTTATTTAAGTGTACGATAGTAGCACAAGAATCGACATACCGTAGATCAAATTTATGATTTCATTAAACTACCGCAGTTTATTGATGATGATAGGGTTGAAATGTTACACAAATTTTGTAAATCGGGAAAAAGAGATGATATATACTATATGTCTATATACAAATATTCTATAAAAACAAAAATGAACTGCTAGATGATATCATATATATATGTTGCAAATAATAGCTAAGTACTAAATATTACCATGATATTTTTCTTTCAAGGTTCGATTTATTGTAAAATGTTTATGTAATAATAATTCTTATTCTCAAATCTAAAACATGCGTGACGGACGTTAATTACATCTTCCAACCTGATTATAATTTTGGTCGTTAATGTCAAAGCAGAATACTCAATACATCAACGCTTGTATCTGAGGAATTCTTTAAAGCGATTTTTGTAATTTGCGCACAACTTTACCAAATGATGGCCATTTTGAAGTGACCCCAAATGTGACTGGTCATTCAAAATGAGTCATTTCGCAAATGACAAATGACTTCATGTGACATCATTTGAGTGTCATTTATGTAGGTCATTTAATTCGAATGATTATGTGTAAATCTGCAAAAATAAATTTATACTTTCTGTCCAACTTCTTAATTCAACATGTTAGCATGAGGAAATATTCCTCTTTTTTATAATAAAAAACAGTTCATTCTTCTTTTAGTAGACTTATATCACATTCTTTAAAATAAAATGTCATACATAACATTTTTTAATCCACGTTACAGTTATTGCATTACCAATATGAAAAAAAGACAAAGACAAGAAAGACAAAGAAAAAAATAATCAAACCAAGATATTGGGTTACTATAAAACATTACAAATATGGGTAAAAAGACACATAATTTTTACATTAATTGATCCATCAAATAAAACAGCCAATAAAGTTTGTAATTTTTGCATAATACATTTTCCATGGCATCTGTTAATTAGGGTTGGAGTCGACTCGATTCGATTCTGGAACCAATTTTAAATTTAAAAGAATTTGGATCTCTCGGGCTTAAAAACTGAATTTGAACCGACTTCAAGAACTGACTCAAATTTAGTCATCTGTCAAGATTTTGACGATCAACATATCAACTATCATTATCTAAATTTTTTGATCACATGCTCTACTTGACGTAGCTCATATTTTTATTTATTAGAGATGAACACCTCCTCCTGATAACAACTCCCACTCTACAGTTTCTGACAACTCTTACATCTCTGCCGCAGAATCGATTGTCACTGTTATCTATCCGCCTACCCTGGCGCATGATTATTAAACTTTCTCATCCTAAAACAATTATGGATCTCCAATGTATAAAATATTCTATACCTGACAGTATTTACGTATAGTATCATTTAATAGTAAAAGAAAAATACGGACTTCTAGTTAATTTTTTTGTTTATTTGTTCGCTTCTCTAGTTTAGTTGACTCTAGTGTGGGCGGGTCTCTCTACGGAGAGGTTCTCCACTGGTCCCTT